GCAAAATGTCATGATCAAGGACATGAAGAAGAGGGCTGGGGGCCCTTAGAAAAAGGGCTTATTTTGAGAAAACAGAATCCATAAGAAGGGACACTCAGCTACCCTTCAGCTAAGTGAATAGCCTTCCTGAATCTAGATGCTTCCTTTCTACTCCAGGGAAGACACATCCCTTCAGTTAATAGCAGCCTCCTGGCTTGGTAGACCATCTTCTCACCCTTTTTTGCCTTTCAACTGTTCCCTCTCTCCTGGATCTTTACCATCCACAAATATTTCCTAGTAAACAAGAAAAATAAGAAGACAAAGAAGAAAAAAAAGAAAACAAAAAAAATCCCTTAACCTCATAAATTGTTCTTTTTTTCGGGGGGGGGGTACCGGGGATTGAACTCAGGGGCACTCAACCACTAAGCCACATTCCTAGCCCTATTTTGTATTTGATCAAGGTACCTGTCTTAAACTACTTACTCTTTTTTTGGTACTAGGGATTTAACCCAGGAGCGGTTAACCACTGAGCCACATCCCTCCAGCCTACCCCACCCTTTTTTAAATTTAGAAACAAGATTTTGCTAAATTGCTGAGGCTGATTTGATCCACCTTCTTCAGACTCCTAAACCTCTGGGATTACAGGTGGGCACCACTACCTTTGCTTTTGGTACTGGAGATTGAACTCATGGACACTCAACCACATCTCCAGCCCTATTTTGTATTTTATTTAGAGACAGGCCTCATTATTGTGGAGGCTGGCTTTGAACCCTTGATCCTCCTGTCTCAACCTCCCAAACTGACGGGATTACAGATGTGTGCCACCGCCCAGCTCAAAACTTTTTTTTTTTTTTAACATTTTAATTTTATTTATTTTATTTTATTTAGAGACAAAGTCTCACTGAGTTGCTTAGCACCTTGCTTTTGCTAAGGCTGGCTTTGAACTTGAAAGGACACTTTCAGAGTGCACATGAAGTTCCAGGACCACACCACACACACAGAAGATTTATTGTCAGTAACAGGAAGCATACCCACAAGGCTGTCCCTCCAAGGAGAGCAGCATCCTGTGGGCACTTACAGAGCAGCTTTATAGCCTGCAAGAGGAATCTCATAAGCTGTTCAGGAGTTTAAACTGAGGTGAGGTTGATCGTTTTATAGGCACACGTTCTTAATGAGAAGTTAAGCAGCACTGCCTCAGAATCAAAACTTTGGAACCTCTAGATAAAATGGCTCCTGATCTAAAATGGCAAATCCAATGACAATATTGATCTGATGTCAATAGAACTCGAGATTCTCCTCCCTCAGCCTCCTGAGCCACTGGGATATAGGCATGTGCCACTGCCTGGCTCATACCTTTTTTTTTTCTTTTAGTTGTAGATGGACACAGTACCTTTATTTTATTTATTTTTATGTGGTACTGAGGATTGAACCCAGTGCCTCACATGTGCTAGGCAAATACTCTATAACTGAGCCACAACTCCAGCCCCATAACTACCTATTCTTAACACATTCTAATTCATTGTTTAAAGAGGAACCCAAGACTGGTTGGTTAGTCATGGTGCTAGCCTGCAATCCCTGCTATTCAGTAGACTGAGGCAGGAAGATTGTAAATTCAAGGCCAGCCTTAGCAATTTAGCCAAGACCTGTCCAAATAAATAAATAAACAAATAAATAAATAAAATAGGACTGGAGATGTAGCTCTGAGATAGAGTACCCCTGGGTTCAACCCATTACAAAAAAGAAAAGAAGAAAAAAAAAAACAGAGTGTGCAATTTAAAAGATTAATTTTATCTTGTCATTTCTTTCTTTAAAACATTCCAGGGCTGGGGTTGTGGCTCAGTGGTAGAGTGCTCTCCTAGCATGCATGGGGCACTGGGTTCAATCCTCAGCACCACATAAATGTAAAATAAAGATATTGTATCCACCTAAAACTTAAAAAAAAAAATTCCAAAGGCTTCCTGCTCACTATAAATAAGCCCTGCAGAATTAGCTCTCTCCTTCTACCTTGTCTTTTCTCTCCCTGTGAGTTTCAGTGTACCACTGCCTCATCTGTTTCTGGAACTTACCAGAACCTTTTTCACTTTTACTCTTCCCTAACTTGTTCTTAATATAAGTCTATTAAGTCTATTAAGTCAGCCATAATAGACTTAAAAAAAATAAAAAAAAAAGTCCAATATCTTAACATGGCCTATCTTGGCCTCAGAAAATTTAGTCCTTACTGACCTCTCTATTCTTTCCCCATTCCATGCTCTTTATTTCCATGGTCTGATTGTATCTGAATTATTTTATTTTATTGGTGCTGGGGATTGAACTCAGGGGCACTCAACCACTGAGCCACATCCCCAGCCCTATTTTGTATTTTATTAAGAGACAGGGTCTCACTGAGTTGCTTAGCACCTTGCTTTTTTGCTGAGGCTGGCTTTGAACTTGAGATCTTCCTGCCTGAACCTCCCAAACTGCTGGGATTACAGGCATGTGTATTCAAATTATTTTGATTATTCTAACAGTTCAGGCTTTTGCCTACCCGAGCCTCTATACCCAAGCCTCTATAAATTTTACTGCATACACCCCTATCCCAGAAGAAAGCTCTTTCAGTTTAGGTAATTTCCACTCATTTTTCAAATTTCTTTTTAAACTTCCACACTCATCATTTCCACTCCTCAGATCTAATTGTTTTAGTTAATATAACATCCTGGGCTTCCTCTTTATTAGAACTTCACAACTTCAGATTCATTTCAAATGACTGGCTTTCCCATTACATTGTGAGCTCTATGATGGAGGGATCCCATCGACCATATTATTTATCATCTACATGGTGCCTCACCCAGAGTAGCTGCTCTATCTCACCTTTTGTTGATGAATTGATCCTTCTAATGCCCAATATATAAAAAAATAAGCTATGATTGAAACCGAGGGGAGTTAGCCTACAGTACATCACTGTATGCACATGTTCTTCCAGACACAGTTTTTTTCCTCCTCTAGAGGGCCTCCAAGGAATCCACTGGCTCTAAATAACAGAGTTTGGAAAACATGAATTAGACTCTCAAAATTTGAAGAGCCTAAATTAACAAAATACCAGTAGGGAGATTAAATTGTTATTTTATCTGTGGAAGATTTGGCATCTTTTATTCCTCAACTAGGCATAAAAAGTGACAGGAAGATGACACTCATGTTTCTGACTCCAGTAACAGAATAGATTATAGGAACATATTGTAGTACAGAGAATATCTAAGGGACAGATTTGAAACTCATTTTATAAATGTTGAGTATATGCCACCTATGAGATGGTGAAGTGGAAATATCCAGAAATCCTTTGTTTTTTTCATTGGTTAAAAGGCGTATAACAATTTTGCTTAAAGGACAGAATTAGAATACCGTATATGAAAATGATTTGCAAATACAAGAGTTTTATATATTAGCTATTACTTACCAATTTTTTTTTCTAGGAAACAGCCTCTGTATAAAAAGCTTCCCTGTTGGGCTGGGGTTGTGGCTCAGTGGTGGAGCATTCAACTAGCACGTGTGAGGCACTGGGTTTGATTCTCAGCACTGCATACAAATAAATAAAATAAAGGTATTAGGTCACTGGGGTACTGCCCTCAGATGGGATTATGGAATGAGTTTTATAAATGAATTTTCACAAGAACAAGTTATTACAAAAAGGCCAAACAAGACCCCTGAATCTCTCTGGCTTCCTATTTCCTGTGATATCTTCTCCATAGGTCCTGCCATCTTGGTGTCATCTTCCATGAGACTGTCACTGGGAGTCAAACTAATAGTCATCAGATCTTAGACTTTCAGCTTCCAAAACTGTGAGTTAACTAAAAATCTTTTAAGTACCCAATTTTGGGTATCTTGTTATAGCAACAGAAAACTGATTAACACATGGGTAGTATCATTTACCTGTATTTCCCTTAAGTTTGACCTCTCTTAATTCTGTTATCAACCCTGACTTATGCACTATCATTATTCCTGCTTTCAAATGTGGAAACTAAGGTGTGGAGAGGTTAAATCTCTTATCTCAAGTGTTAGCCAGGCGTTTTGGCACATTCTTGTAATCCCAGCTACTAGGGGACTGAGGCTGGAAGACTGTTAGTTGGAACCAATCAACTAGGCAAATTAGTTAGACGCTGTCTTAAAAAAAAAAAAAAAGAATAAAAGACAGGCTTGATGATGCACTCCTGTAATCCCATCGGCTCAGGAGGCTGAGACAGGACGATTTTGAGTTCAAAGCCATCCTCAGCAAAAGTGAGGCCCTTAGCAACTCAGTGAGACCCTGTTTCTAAATAAAATACAAAATAGAGCTGGGGATGTGGCTCAGTGGTCGAGTGCCCTGAGTCCAATCCCCAGTACCAAAAAAAAAAAAAGTTTTAGAATGGTAGAGTGTGGTCAGTACACTCTAAATCAGTCTACGATCTATGATTAATTGTCTTCGATTTGTACAGCTTGTTAATAAAATATATAGAAACATTACAGAAAGGAGTAAATGTAAAATGGGTTTACCTTAACCTCTAGTGGGGATATCAAGAGGATTAGCCCTGAGGCGCTAAATACTGAAAGCTAGTCATGAGAAGTAGTAGAAAATTTTGATCTCACTGTATACCGTCATCCCTCCTGGAAGATGTCGCGGGCTGGACGGGGGGCGGGTGGGATGGGGTGGGGTGGGGTGGTAAGGGGAGCGGTGCCTAAGGTAGTAGGGGACATCTGCAGAACAGAGGTAGATGGGAGGAAATCTGAGAAATGGAAAGCACCAAATGTAACTTTCCTGAGTCACAACTAGAAACTGTCCTCTTCGTGTTTACGAGAACATTGAGGCCCACTGCACCCCCAGACTAGGTTGCTAGCTGAGGAATTTCCATAGAACTGGGAAAGCGCCTCCGCTACCTAGCGTCAAACTGAGCCGTCTCTCTGGGCAACCCAAAAAAGGCGTGGCTTGAGGATTAGTCCCTCCCCCTTATCACCAACTTAGAAGACGATTGGTCCGGAGGTGGGTGGCGCCTCAGGGAGGCGGATCTAGGAGCTCAGTTCCGGCTCGCGCCGCCATTTTGGCTTGTGTGAGCTTTTTGGACGTTCTGATTGTGTCCTCTCTCTGGGTTGGTTCTGCAGACCACAGGCTCGGGGCCCGCGTTCGAGTGTCAGGTTGGAGCCGGGAAACGCCCCTAGTGGTAGCGGCGGCGGGGGCAGGATGAGCGCGGAGGCGGCGGACCGGGAGGCGGCCACCTCCAGTCGGCCCTGCACCCCGCCGCAGACCTGCTGGTTCGAGTTCCTGCTGGAGGAGTCGTTGTTGGAGAAGCATCTGCGCAAGCCCTGCCCGGGTAAGCGTGGCACCTGCAGCCCTGGGGGGCGGGACACGCCCCGGCCTCCCTCCACTCAGGTTTTCTGGGCCCCCCGAAGCTTGTCAGGGCCTGTAGCTAACCCCCTTATATTAAATATCCCTGGGCCGGGGTGCCGCCGTGGGGCGTCGCAGAGGCCCTTTCGCCCTCTGTAGGTCCTTTTTTACTGTTTGGGGTTTTAGTACGGGTCTGGCGGTGCTTTGGGTCGGGGATGCTGGCCGGAACCCCCCACCCGCGGTGCTGGAGGTTGAACCTAGGGGCGCTCAACTCACTGAGCTACGTCCCCAGCCCTGTTTTGGGATAGGTTGTCACTGTTTCCCAGACCGGCCTCGAACTTCTGATCCTCTTGCCTCAGCTCCCCGAGAAACTGGGTTAAGGGGTGCGACACCGCACTAGGAACCCGAACCCTCTTTACGAAACCTAGGGCGGTATAAATTCAGGGAGGTGGAGAGGAATCCGTTTTGATGCTGAGCCCGACGCTAGTTATTATCTTGGGTTCTTCTTTAACTCTTGTTCTTCAGTGAGAGAATTTTATATTCCAAAGCTGGCTGCGGGTTAAAAATCTTTGAAAGCAGGTACTGCTACATAGTTACAAGGTGGTTATTACATAGTGATGATAATGCTTAATATCCCACTTAAATGGGCTTTATGGGAGAAGGAGAAAAACTTCAGGCATTTCTGGAAAGAGGTATTGGTATGAAAACCTAAGTTTCTTCCCTTAGTTCAAATCCAAATATAGATTGAATCTAACAGGCAGTCCTTAACTAAAGGTCGTCTTCAGAGACTAGTCTGAGAAATTAGTGTACTTTATATAGGCAGACTGTGCTATGTCTTTTTTAGTTCATTCCATTTGACAAAATTGCTTCCCAGAAGCCAGGCACCGTGCTTAATTCTTTATATGTGTCATCTGGGTTAATTCAGTCTTCAGAATAATCCTGCCAGGTAGGTGGTATTATTCTTTTTTTTGCATTGGAGGGAGCAGGTGCTGAGAGGTAACTTGATGGAGATTCCTCTAATTGTCAACTCATTAGTTTACAGCCTGCACCTCTTTCCTCTAATTGGCATTGGTCATTTGCTGAACTGGGAATAACTACTAGGTTCTTACCTGTGAAGTGTTCTTCTGTACTAATGTTCCTTGCCCATTCTTCTAGATCATCTCCTTTAGCCCTTAGATGTATTTCTTATATATTGTATTCCTTAGTCTTTATAGTTGTACAGTTGTTTGGATTCCTTTTATGGCATAACAAAACAGTACAGTGAATTCTTTTTGTGTATCCATAATTAAAACTTAAATTTAAAAATTTATTTTCTTTTAAATCCTAGATCCTGCACCAGTTCAACTTATAGTTCAGTTTTTGGAACAGGCTTCTAAACCTTCAGTTAATGAACAAAACCAGGTTCAACCTCCACCTGATAACAAGAGAAATCGTATTTTAAAACTTCTTGCTCTTAAAGTTGCTGCACATTTGAAGTGGGACTTGGACATATTAGAGAAAAGGTATAAAGATCTACATGAAATTTCATTTGGAGTACTATTTTGATACTTTTGTTTATTTCTGTGTATGTAGTTAGGATATTGGCTTTTAAAATGAAAATTTTCTTCCTGTATTTTCTTGGTAAAATATGCAGGTATTTTTCAGAAAGTACAAAATATATTTAAAGTAGGGTGTGTATTGAGTCCCAGCATTTGGAGGCTAAGGTGGGAGGACCAGAAAAAAAACAAAATTATTTTCTTTCATCCCCTTCTTCTCAGTTTAAAAGAAATACTTTATAGGAAATAGGGAAAAGTTCAGGAAAGAAAGAATTCTAGAGAGAAGTACTTTTTAACATTTTTCTTGTTCTTTGTATGTTTTTGTTTTATCAGTGCTGGAAATTGAACTCCAAGCATGTTAGGCAAGTGGTTTAAACTACACCACGCCCTAGCCCTTTATATTTTTCTCTTTTTGGTACTGAGGATACCCAGAGACACTTTACCACTGAGCTACATCTTCAACTCTTTTTTGAGACAGAGTCTCACTAAGTTGCTTAGGGCCTCACTCTGTTGTTGAGGCTGACTTTGAATTTATGATCCTCCTGCCTCAGTTTTCCAATCTCTGGGATTACAGGAATGCACCACTGCGCTCAGCTCCCATTTTCGTTTTTGTGATTATATTTTGTGTACTGTTTTTTTTTTTTTCACTTAACATATCATTAACTGTTTCTTCATTGACATTCATTTTGTTTGTTTCTAGTTTTTCACTAATATAAATCCCAAGCCCTTAAATATCTGTGCCCACAAACTTTATCTGTATTTTGAGTTATTTTTTTAGGATTTTAAATTGCTTGATCATGTGATATAGCCACACCCCCCCCCCCCCTTCTAGAGATCAAACCTAAGGCCTCTCTTGTGCTAGGCAAGTATTCTATCACTGCATACAACCCCAGCCCTCCAGACAAGATAGTTGGATTGTTGATGATAATAAGCAAATTTAAAATATTTAGATGTGGAATTTGTACAGTGATTTTGTTAAAAGTTCATTTTTCTGAGATATAATCTAAAATATTTACAATTTGGGAAGTGGAAATTAGAGTAGAAATGAAACATGGTGGTCTTTAGTTGATAATTGTGGAAAGTGGATGATGCAGATTCATTTTATTCTACTTTATGTGTATGTTTTTTTTTTTTTCCTAATAATTTAAAGTTTAAAAAGTTATTTTGAAATGTGATAGATTTGACCTTTTGGAACAATGTAATTAATCATCACTTTATTTTTAGTGATGATTTAGAATTGTGTATTTGTTGCTTCTTAAGCACTAACATGCAAACATGTATCTTTTGCTTCTTTTAAGTTTGTCTGTTCCAGTATTGAATATGTTACTTAATGAACTGCTCTGCATCAGTAAAGTTCCTCCTGGGACAAAGCATGTAGACATGGATCTGGCCACGTTACCCCCAACCACTGCCATGGCTATACTTCTCTACAATAGATGGTAAATTATTTCATAAACCCAAAATGTTCTGGGAAACCTCTGTTTAATTGCACTCTGGCTTTCAGGCGTGTCTTTTTAAGGTTCTCCTGCCCTAGGGGATTCTCAGAGGATTTTTGGAGCTATGAGTATAGAGCAAATTTGTGAATGTGTATATTAAAAGCATGCTGCTTAAAATGTGTGTGTGTGTGTGTGTGTGTGTGTGTGTGTGTGTGTGTGAACATAAATAACATGTCAAAACTTCAGAGAATTTATGCTACAAATCTTCTAAGTAGTATTTGAAACAATTGAAGTGACATTTATTGGTATATTAAATTTTATTTTTTCTTGTCTTCAGGGCAATTAGGACAATTGTTCAAAGTAGTTTTCCTGTCAAACAAGCAAAACCTGGACCCCCTCAGTTAAGTGTGTAAGTTGGCGTATATGACCTTTGTTTGACATTTTTTAAATCAGAATTTTAAAAAATTTAGCAAGTTTTAAATAACCTGTGTTATAGAGGAAGAGGAGCAGAGGGCCTGCATAAAGGTTTATTTGGAAGAGTTAGAAGGTTGGAGAATCAAATAGTGCTCTAGAAATCTAGGATAGAGAGCTCTAAAGAGCATTTTAAGAATGCCATTCATCAGAAAGTAGTGTTTATTTTTTTGTCAAATTCAAAGCTTATTACAAAAATTTGAACATGAAGTTTTAATTCTTAAGTTTCAGGTAGCAGTTTATCCTCATTTACTGATCTAAAGCACAGTTTCTAACTTTACAGAAATGAACTTTTGTTAGTAAGTTTTGTCTTGAAAGTTTTTTTAAAAAATTTTTTAAATATATTTTTATTTATTTATTTATTTATTTTTATGTGGTGCTGAGGATCGAACCCAGGGCCTTGCACCCAGGGCCTTGCACCTAGGGCCTTGCACTCACCTATGCCGCTGAGCCATAACCCCAGCCCCGTTGTTTTAAATAAATATTTTTTAGTTGTAGTTGACACATTACCTTTATTTATTTTTATGTGATGCTGAGGATCGAAACCAGGGCCTCGAACATGCTAGGTAAGCGCTCTACCGCTAAACCACGACCCCAGCCCCTTGAGAAAGTTTTGTTATTCAAGACAAATGAGAAAATACTGGTAAATTAATGAGCTTCCATAAGAGAAAGTATTTTTTTTGTGTGTTTTTTTAAGCATGAAAAGTAGTAGCATTAAAATACTTAAACTTACCTTAAAGAATGATGCTTTTCAATTCAGAATTTTTCAGTCTTGAGAGTAACATTTGAATGATTTTCCATCATTTCTCTTTTAGTATGAATCAGATGCAACAGGAGAAAGAGTTAACAGAAAACATTTTGAAAGTGGTAAGTATTGGCATTAGTTACATTGGAACAGTAGTGGAACACATTTTTAGCATGTATAGATGCATCTTCTAAGGTATGTGAGAGTTGTCAAGGTCTAGGTGCATTGACAGAAATTTTTACTGCCAGAATATAGGTAATATTGCACTATAAATTAAACAAGTTTTCAACTCTAGTGGTAGAGTACTTTTATCACCAGTTCTATTGTTGAATATTTCATGATACTAGAAATCAGTGTTTTAGGTGATATATTTATATTGTGTTTTCTAAAAATTCCACAAGAAATATATATAACTTGTATTTTAAAATTATTTAATAATCAGAAAACTATTATTATTATTATTATTATTATTTTTTTTTTTTTGAGATGCTGAGAATTGAACCCAGGGCTTCACTCATGGTAGGCAGGCACTTTACCACTGAACTATACCCCCAGTTCAGACTATTTATTTTTAAGATGACCTACAGAAGGATTTCCTGTAATTTAAATATTATCTCTACTTTTTAATACCTACAATATCCCAGAAATGTCATGTAAGGTACAGGGGATGGTGGGGAAATGGACAGTAAATAACCTGTATCTATATAAAAGAAATGTGCTGTAGTATTTTGAATATTGGAAACAAAAACCCTGAGTCATTTTATTGTTATCTAGTGTCTAGTAAAGTGACTGGCACATAGAGGCATACAGATATTTCTTGAATAAATCAAAGTGGAGCAATGCAAATTTGTATTTATTTTTTTATTTTTGGTACTAGGGACTGAACCCAGGGGTGTTTCCCACTTAGCCACATCCCCAACCATTTTTTATATTTTATTTAGAGACAGGGTCTTTCTGAGTTGTTTAGGGTCTCACTGAGTTGCTGAGTCTGGCTTTGAATTTTGCCTCAGCCTCTTGAGCTCTCTGGGATTATAGGCATGCTCTACTGCACTGGCTGCAAATTTTTATTTTTAATTTTTTTTTTTTGTATTGTGGATTGAACCTGGCGTGCTTTACTACTGACCTACATTCCCAGCCATTAAAAATTATTATTTTTTAAAGTTTTGAGACAGGGTCTTACTAAGTTGCTTAGAGCCTCTCTAAATTGCTGAGGCTGATCTCAAACTTGGAATCCTGCCTCAGCCTCCTGAGTCTCTGGGGTTATAGACATACACCACCATACTCGGCAGTGCAAATTTTAAAATAATTTTTATTAACTTTTTATGAAAAAAATCAGTTTCTGATTTTGAAGTAGGAACTTAAGTTTTTTCTTGGTGATTTTTAAATTCTTCTTTTTTCCTTTAAGATAACTTCATTTCAACAAATTTAATTGTACTTTTGCTGCGTAGGAAGTTTTTTATTTTTTTATTTTTTATTTTTTTTAAAGAGTGAGAGAGGGGAGAGAGAGAGAGAGAATTTTTAATATTTATTTTTTAGTTCTCGGCGGACACTACATCTTTGTTGGTATGTGGTGCTGAGGATCGAACCCGGGCCGCACGCATGCCAGGCGAGCGCGCCACCGCTTGAGCCACATCCCCAGCCCCAGTTTTTTATTTTTGTAACGAGTTCAATACACTAAGCTACTAAGTATCATGTAAATATTTTTTGGCTAATATAATTGCTATTTTTGCATTTTAATTCATTTATTGTATTTTTTGTAGCTGAAAGAACAAGCTGCTGATTCTATTTTAGTACTAGAGGCAGCCCTAAAATTAAACAAGGATCTTTATGTCCATACAATGAGAACTCTAGATTTATTGGCTGTGGAACCAGGCATGGTAAATGGAGAGACTGAGAGTTCTACTGCGGGATTGAAAATCAAAACTGAGGAAATGCAATGCCAGGTATTTATTTCTGTATTTATTACTGCATGGCAAAATGTTTTGTTTCATAGAGATCATTCTGATACTTTTAATTGAATTTATTTCTGCCTTTTCTCTTTGGTTTTGAGTTAAGATGTTATTAAGTTTGCATTTATATTTTACAAATTTTATAAGACTTCACTTGAGATTTTTCTAAAAAGGAAAATATCATGTGATCTATTGTATCTGAAATAGTTTTCCAGTTGAATTTAGAAGACAGTTTAAATATAGAGAATGCAATGAGTATACAGTTGATTTGCGGTTTATTCATGTCATTAGAAGTCTTAATTGGATCAAAACCAAACAAAACCCTCAACTACTATTGTGTTATACTGAAAACTAGACTCCTAGAGAAAATATCTACTTTTTGTTGTTGATGGAATACAGGGGTGCTCTACCTCTGAGCTATATCCCAAGCCCTTTTTATTTAAAAAAAAAATTGTTTTTGGTACTAGGGATTGAACCCAGAGGTGCTTTACCACAGAACTACATCCCCAGTCCTTTTTATTTTATTTTTTTAATTTTAAGACAGAGTTTTGCTAAATTGTTGAGGCTGTCCTTGAACTTGTGATACTCCTGCCTTAGCCTCTTGAGTCACTTGGATTACAGCGTTCACTACCTTGCCTGGCTTCTGCATTTTACTAACACAGAACCTTGAGTACAATAGAAATTTTAAAGTGTTCATTGAGTATTACCTAAAGAGGTCCATTAGATTAGTACATTTAACCTATATTCTTTGTGTAAATTGGGTGACTTTTTTCATCACCAATTCTGGAAAAGGGCAGAAATAGTTAACATAGTGTTTGAAAGGGGATTTTCAGATTTACTGACTACACAGTTGAAGATAATAAGTTTTTCAAAACCTGGTGAGATAAGAGTTCATAGGGAAAAAAATTGCAGTAGTAAGATATTGATACTTGGTAACCTTTTAAAATCATTGATGAAACTTGCATGTGAGAGTATTTCTAGTGCTGTGTATCTCATAGTATTTCAGTCTTTTTTAAAAGCTTTTGCTGGTGTGGTGGCTCACGCTTGTGATCCCAGTGACTCAGGAAGCTGAGGTTGGAAGATCGAAGGTTCAAAGCCAGCCTCAGCAACTCAGCAACCTAAGCAATTTAGTGAGACCCTGTCTCAAAATAAAAAGTAAAAAAGGCCAGGGATGTAGCCCAAAGGTATAAGTGCCTCTGGATTCAGTCCCATAAAAAAACAAAAACACAAAGCTGTTGACAGCACTTTTGGTCTAATCTTCATAACATGGTGGTTGACATAACCTGAAAAACAAGAGTATAAAACACTTAGATGTGCTAAGTTAGCTTTATCAGATATTCTTTTATACATAGCTGAGTTATAATTCCTGTTTTCTGAGGAATCTGTTGGCTAAGTTTGGTTTGGCAAATTAGTGGTAATACTTATTTTGGGACATGACAATGTTTAAAGTACATCATTATTAAATTACATTTACATTACTAAAATTCACCTAAGACTCAAAAGTATTTACATCATTTACCATAAAACCAAGTGTTGCTGAACTTAGTGGTGCACATCTGTAATCCTCGCTACTCAGGAGATTTAGGCAGGATCGCAAGTTTGAGGCCAGCAAGAAGCAGCTTCGACTTTAATATGTATGAGGTCCTGAGTTTAATCCCCAGTATTACTGGGGTGTGTGTGGGGGAATGTGTTACTGTCCAATGCAAAAAGTTGGTTTCATTATCTCATTTTTTTGTTTTTCAGTCCATTGACCACCTTTTAACTGTAGAATGTTAACTCATTTTAATGGCTTGTCAGTTACTGTAATAAAACTTGAAAAAAACCTTAATTTTTTGTATTTGCCTGGGAAGGAGAATTACATATAACTATATACGTGTATGTGTGTGTGTGTGTGTGTTTGTGTGCATGTATGTTTTTTAATTGTTAGTATCCTTCACTCCAGATGTAATGAACTCTCTCTATAATGAAAATCAGCCAGAAATTTAGTGTGGGCTAAATGGTGCAAAGCAGAGGCTGATGAGAATCAATCTTGATTCACTGAACAGGATAAACTATATAAAACATAACGATAAAGTGAGGTTCAGTAATGAGTACCAAATACTATTATAGCTTAGGTATTTGAAAGAAGAATAAGCATCTGTTGGCTAAGTTTGGTTTGGTGTAAATGGAAATAAAGTGTGTAGAATGAAGTTCACTCATTTCTGGGATACCATGTGAATGGGAAATTGAGAAGACTGGTGTGATTAGAGGAAAAGTAAAGACACTTTGAGAGAAAAATTAAGATGTTGGAATTCTTAAAGATTGGGTCAGTGAGATTGTACTTTTTCCTATTTGGAGAGAATAATTGATGAATTTTTTTTTGAAGATATTTTTTAGTTGTTGTTGGACCTTTATTTATTTGTATGTGTTGCCGAGAATCGAACCCAGTGCCTCACGCATGCTAGGCAAGCGTGTTACCACTGAGCCACAACCCCAGTCCCTAATTGATGAATTTTTAAGTCAGCTCAAGTAGACTTATTTGGGAACGGGTAAGCTCAGTGGTAGAGTACATGCAAAGCACTGGCTTCATTCTCTAGCACCAAAACAACTGCTTTCTTAGCCATGTGTAGAATAAATGTGCTGCATAGGAGTCTTCTTCCTAGATCTGAGTTTAAGCCTGGCTCTGCCAGTGTTTGGTTCTGTGTTTTTCATCTCACTTTCTGGAACCTAGTATTCTTGTTTTGGTATTGGAATTTGAATCCAGGGCCCTTTATCACTGTGCTACATCCTGGTCCTTTTTATTTTTTATTTTGAGAAAACATCTTGCCAAATTGCTGGCTTTAAAATTTGTAATCCTCCTGCTTCAGCCTCCAGACTCACTGGGATTACAGTTGAGTGCCACTGCTCCTGGCAGGATCTTAGTATACTTTCTTTTTTTTCCCCTAATATTTAAAAAAAAATTTTTTTTTAATTGTAGATGGACACAGTATCTTTCTTTTTTATTTATTTGTTTTTATGTGGTGCTGGGGATCGAACCCAGGGCCTCATGCGTGCGAGGCAAGCACTCTACCACTGAGCCACAACCCCAGCCCAGGACCTTAGTATTCTTTAAATGGCCAACCTGAGTAAATCTGAGTTGACTTTTGATTTGTGTATTCAGTGAATCTGGGCATCAATCTAAAAAAAAGTTCTTGGAAAAATGTAGAAATTCTGCCTTTAGAAAAAGACAGTTGAAGAAGTAGTGTCAATTTTGGCCATCAATTCAAATTCCTCAGTTTATTTAGTCTATTATGATAGATTTTTGCTTTCTTCCCCATTTGGGGGGGATCCCCAACATCTGTTCTCCTCTTCTATGTTAGAATTCCTTACCTTTGGGGCTTGGTGGAAAGCACACCCTTCTCAGAGTAGAAACTCAAAACTAAAATGTGGCTGTGTTAAGCCTCTTCCAGCTTGAGGGTAGACATATCACAGGTGAATACAGGTATTTAAACTGAATTAGCATCCTATAGGTCAAAGTGGGACTGATAGAGAATCTGTTATGGTGGTGGTTAGTAGCAATATCAACAGTTAAATTTAGTTTCCAGGGGCAGTATTTGGGGAATGCAGCTGTTGCTTTGGTGTTAATTACTGGTGGTTGCAGGTGACATAAGTTGTGGTATCTAGTGTTGAGATGGGCTATAGTGGTACCTGCACCAGTTTTGGATCTTGTCCTTACTACCTGCCCTTGCCTCTCTTGTTTTCCTCATCTTATTCGTTGGCCTTCACAATAGTTTTATAGGCTATCTGAAATCTTATCATTAAATGGTTTTCTGCTTAAGTGAGTTGGAGTTGGTTTCTATTTTATTGTTCATCAAAAAATTTTTTTAACCTCATTTTTTCCCCTTTGTTTTCCTGACATAAAGATCATTTTGAATTCTATCAACTCTAAAGTCCATGGAAAATTATTAAACAACTTTGGTATTCATTCCATTTTAGGTATGTTATGATTTGGGGGCAGCATACTTCCAGCAAGGCTCCACAAATTCAGCAGCTTATGAAAATGCCAGAGAAAAATTTTTTAGAACCAAAGAACTAATTGCAGAGGTAAATACAATCATAAATCTATACAGTTTTTTGGCTTTAATTTTTCTGAAGGTTAAAAAAACACTATTTTTGGGGAAAGGGATTGTAGCTCAGTGGTATAAGGCATATGTAGTATGGGGAAGGGCCCTGGGTTCAGCCCCCAGCAATACCACTAACAAAAAACACAAATGTGTTCATTGCACTAGATTTGGAAAGTTCAAAAAGTACTAAAAACTGGTTTTAAAAAAAATCTACATTGGTGGTGTTAGAGTGGTGTCAGTGGTGAAGCCTCGCACGTGAGGCACTGGGTTCGATCCAAAGCACCACATAAAATATATAAATAAAAGTACTGTGTCCAACTACTACTAAAAAAATTAAAAAATTTAAAAAATCTGTATTACTACTACTTGGAATTAACTTCTTTTACTTTTTGATCATATTTTCTTTCTGTATATTCTTAAACAGTTCAGCTCATACATACTATTTTGTATCTTGCTTAAGTCTTTGAGTAGGCATTTAAATTTATCATTCTATTATGTGGGTATCCTTTTTTTTTTTTCTTTTTCTTTTGGTACCAGAGATTGAACTCGGGGGCACTTAACCACTGAGCCACATCCCCAGCTTTTTTTTGTATTTTATTTAGATAGGGACTCACTGAATTGCAGTTGCTGAGGCTGGCCACTGGGATTATAGGTGTGTGCCATCTTACCCAATTTTGTGGATACTCTTTGATTGACTTTATTTCTTTTATATTTGGGCACTTAGGTTATTTAATCTCTATTTTTTTTTTTTTTTTTTGTATTTGGGGTTAAACCCAGCAGTGCTCTACTACTGAGCTACATCCCCAGCCCTTTTTAAATTTTTGTTTGTTTTTGAGACAGGGTTTTACTAAGTTGGCCAGGCTAGTCTTAAACTTATGATTCTCCTGACTCAGCCTCTCAAATTGCTGGGATTATAGGTGTGCACCACCATACCTGGCTAGGTTATCTACTCTTTATTATACTAGTAGTATTATTATACTACTCTTTATTATACTATATTACTAGGTTATTTACTCTTTATTTATTATATTTTATATGTAGCTTTATTATAAAGCTATATTTATGTCTTAAGAATGAACTTCTGTTCAGACTTTAGAACCTTTTAACTACTATAGACTCATGTCATTTACTATTATTATTTAATTTTTTAGTTGTTGATGGACCTTTATTTTATTCATTTATATATATATGGTGCTGAGAATTGAACCTAGTACCTCACATATATGAGGCTACAACTGCAGCACAGTTATTACTTTTTAAAGGCAATAAATTTATAAAACCAAATTGCTTTCTAGCTTTATTTTTCTGATCAGTAGTGTTTTACTCTGTATTTACTTGAACTGGTGTATTTAATCAGTGGTATTTAAAAAAAATAATTTTTTTATTTTGTTAATATGATGGGTGAAATACAGTATCTTTAAAATTTACCTTAATTCCTACTAAGGACAAACTTTTAAAAATTCTGATTCTTGCTGGGCATGGTGACATATGCATATAGTCCTAGAGACTGGGAGGCTGGGGCACGAAGATCAAAAATTCAGGACCAGACTTTGCATGTTAGCAAGTTCTCAGCACCTCAAGGAGACTCAAAATCAAAAGGAATGGGATATAGCTTAGGGGTAAAGTGTACCAGCGTTCAATCCTCAGTAGTAGAGCTCTTGCCTAGCATGTATGAGACATTTTGCAGTATTGATTCAGGTGTCTAAATTTTAAGGTTTATACCTAGGTTTTTGATTGCCATTTGCTGGAAACATCCCCGCTTCAATTTCTTCTTTCCTTTAAGAAATTAAGTGACTTAGAAATTTAATTTAGTTTATTCTTTTTTTCTTTTTGTGTGTGTGGTACTGGAAATTGAACTCAGGGCCTCATGCCTGCTAGGCTAACGGTCTCAGACTAGATCTATTACAGATCTATTAGGAATTCCAATTTAACTTTGCCCAAGGAACTCTTCAGATTTCTGATTTCATTGTGTTTTTAAGTATGGTAAAGTAAAACTCTTTCTCAATTGTGTCGTTTAAAAAAAATCTTTTTGGTAGGAGCATTTTTTTTCTTCCTAATTGAAGATTCAGAGTTTTCTAATATTATCTCCTTTAAATTTCTGACTGATATATGTATTTTAAAATGTTTAAGTTTTTTTTTTTTAACACTGTTCACTCTTTATTAATGTCTTACTTGTCATATCTAGATAGAAAGATAATAATGTTTATCTTTTGTAATTTGACCCAAAAACTTTAAACCAGGGATTGGCAAAAATATTTTTTTTTGTCAGGAGGTAAAGGGCCAGGTAGTAAATACATTAGACTTTGTGTTCCATATTCAGTTTTTTTTTAACTTTATTATTTTAGTTGCTGATAGAACTTTATTTTTATTTATTTATATGTTGTTGTGTTGAGAATCAAACCTAGTGCCTCACACATGCTAGGCAAGCGCTCTACCTCTGAGCCACCACCCCAGCCCCCAATATTTATTTTTTTCTGATATTCTTTTATAATTTATAGTTCTAAAAATTGTTTTTGAAACAATAGATAATAGGCTTTATTTGTCCTATAAACAATAGTTTGCTAACCCTTTCTTTAAATACATAACCTTTTCATTTAATGTGGTGCTGGGGATTGAACCCCGGTCCTTGTGCATGCGAGGCAAGCACTCTACCAACTGAGCTATATCTCTAGCCCCAAACCTTTTCATTTTTTTATGATTCCTCTAGATTTGAATTTTCTGTTATCATTTTCTTGTACTGTTAAATACATTATGGGGTACTAGATTATTGTTTATATTACATTAATGGATAATGATATATAACTCTTACTTTACAGATAGGTTCATTATCTCTTCATTGTACCATAGATGAGAAGCGGTTAGCTGGTTATTGTCAAGCATGTGATGTTCTTGTACCTTCTTCTGATAGTACCTCTCAACAGTTGACTCCATATAGTCAAGTCCACATTTGTTTGAGATCTGGCAACTATCAGGTAAGATATATGATGGGAATGCACTGATGTAGCTGAAAAGTTTTGGAAGCCAGACAACACTGAGTTCTAGTCCTGGTTCTGCCGTTTACCAGTTGTACGATTTGGGCATATGACTTAAACTCACCAGCTGGCCTAAAAAAGTAGTGGTAATGGTTGTCACGTTTCAAAAGATTCTTGTAAGAATCAAGTGAGATACACAGATATTCTTTATTATTGATACTATCCTTTTTGACCCAGTAGAATTTGCCCATCATAAATTGGTTATAGGTAGATAGCTTTTACTTTTATGGATCCTGAAGTTTTTAATTCATTTTGAAAGTATATCCTTGTATCATGGCTTTGTTCATCTTTGTAAATATTACAGCAGGAGGAGAATGTGAAATAAGTGGTTTTGTTAGGTTGTGATGCTCATTTGCAAAACACTCTTTGCTACTGAGCTTGGTTATCAACTCAGGATGTTGAGATGTCTTACACCTCAGTGCTTGTCTTTAGCTTTGTAATGAAATCACTGGTAATTAGAGTGTGTACTTTTAAGTATTTATTGGAAAACTTCGATTCTTGAGAGTACACCGTGCCTTCGTGTTATTTAACTCACAATTGAAATCATGAAACAACAAAGGTGTAATTTACTTTCAGTTTTGTGTTTCCATAGATGAGGGAGGAGACGATGCTTTGTTCCCTTGTCCCTGACTATTTTTCTAATATTGCTTTCCCTTATGTTAGAAAATTAAATTTTTATTTTTTGTTTTTGGTGCTGGAATTGAACTCAGGGATGATTAACCACTGTGCCACCTCCCCAGCCGTTTTTATTTTTTGAGACTGGGTCTTGGTAAATTGCTTAGGGCCTCATTAAGTTGCTGAGACTGGCTTTGAATTCTCCATCCTCCTACTTGAGCCTCCTGAACCTGAGGGATTATAGGTCTGTGCCACTGAGTCTGGCAGGAAATTAAATTTTCCTGAACATGAATTATAGATATAGGAGAATTTATTTAAGTCTAGAGATCTTTCAGTTAACCACTCCTTAGAACAGGCTTATAGGTGAGGGTCCATAAGGTAAATACACAGAATTCTTTTTTTCTCTCTGGGGATCATTGAACCAGGGCCTCACACATGGTAGGCAAGCGATGTACCACTGAACTACAACCCCAGCCTTCCCCACCCCAAAAGTCTTTTTTGTTTTGTTTTGTTTTGTTTTTGGAGACAGGTCTTAGTTGTTTAGGCTGGTTTTGAACCTGTGATCCTCCTGCCTGAGTCTCTCATGTAACTGGAATTTTAGGTGTGTATTGCTGTTTTTGGCACATATGGATGCTTAAGAAGCTTCTGGAAACCACGTATGGTGGTACATGTCTGTAGTCCCAGCTGCTCAGGAGGATAGCAAATTTGAGGCCAGCCTGGGCAAGTTAGCAAGACCCTGTCTCAAAAAATAAAAGGAAGAGCTGGGATATAGCTCAGTTGTAGAGTGTCCTAGCTTTATACCACAAAGGGAAAAAAAAGAAAGAAATCATGTTTAGCCTTTATTTGAATAGATTCCCTTTATATGAACTGTTTCATTTTGTTTTGTGTTGGTGAAGCCTTAAACAGCTGTAACTGTCTTCTCACACTTGGAAAGTGGTAGACTTGATCTTGAGGAGCCTTAGGACATTCATTGTTCATATTTTGCTGTAGAGGAAAACAGTAGTTGGCTATGTAGTTTATTTTTGTTGGTACAGGAGATTAAATCCAGGGCCTATAGTATGATAAGCAGATGTTCTACCAATAAGCTACATTCCTAGCCTTTATTTTATTTTTAGAAGGGCTCTTGCTGAGTTGCCCAGGCTGACCTCAAATTTGCTCTCCTCCTTTCTCATCCTTCCCAGTGTTAGAACTATAGGTGAGTGCTGGGATTATAAGCATGTGCCACCATGCCCAGTGGTTCTACAGTTTTGAAACCACTTTCATCAGCACTTTTGTGGTAGTGGCTGATTACCTTTGTTTTCAGAAATCCTCTTCCCATCTTCCCTCCCCCCTCACCCATTCTTTCTTGTTTTCCATTGCTTGACAAGACTGAGAAAAAAAAAATCTGTAAGTAATAATGTGGATGTTTTTGTAATTCACTTAAGTAACACATTTTAAAACAAATTTACTATAGTTGTTTCTTAGTATGTTTTTTCTAGCTGATTTATTTAAAAATATTATTTTTTTGAAATTTGTTTTATGAAGGAAACTTAAGTTTGTTTAAAAAACATTTTTTTTAAAAGAGGTTGCATTGCTTCTTACTGATTTTTTTCCCCCAGCTTTCATTTTTTTATTCATTATTTTCAATTTTAGAAGGAGGATGATTTTTTTGGATACAATTTTTTTATTTGTTCTTTTTAGATATACATGACAGTACAGTGCATTTTGATAAACATATATGTAGTATAATTTAGTCTAACTAGGATTTCCTTCTTGTGGTTGTACATGATGGGGAGTTTCAGTGGCAGATGATTTTTATTTTTAATCTAATTTTAGAATTTTAGAAAAAGAATGTTTTCCCAGTAAGGTATTTTTATGATTTTCTTCAATTTGTATTTTCCAAATATAGAAAGACTTTTTTAAAGTAAAAAAAATTGCCATGATTTTTGAAATGAATATAATTTTATATATATGTTCTAGGAGGTAATACAGATATTCATTGAAGATAACTTAACCTTCAGTTTACCTGTCCAGTTCCGACAATCAGTGCTAAGAGAACTCTTTCAGAAAGCTCAACAAGGGTAAGTAAATTGAAAAATTACTTTCAGGTTTTGAACAAAAGTGCAAGTCCTTTCTGGTTCATTTCCAACTTATCTACAAATCTTTGACATTACTTTCACTTTTGTTAATATAAGGGAAACTAACATAATCAAAGGATACATTATAAAGTGGGTTTTTCTGGTTTATTTTAAAAGTGATTTCAAGGAGAATGTTACACAAAGCAGAATTCATTCTGTTGCCTAATCTGTAACTAAATTATCCCTTGGTAAATTCAAAACCTGTTCCCCTCCCTGCTCCTGACTTGGTATGTGATATTTACTAGTGTGTTTGAATATCCTAAAATCTTTCCAAGTAAGATTGCCTGGACTGGGGATGTAGCTCAGTGGCAGAAGACTACTTGCTTAGCATGTGTAAGACTGAGTTAGATTCCCAGGACTGGAAAGGGAAAGATAAAAATAAATGACTCATTCTTGTGAATTTATTGTTGTAATATACGCCTTTTAAAAAATTATAAAAATAACAGTGGATCTACTTTTTTACAGAAATGAAGCTCTAGATGAAATCTGTTTTAAAGTCTGTGCCTGCAACACAGTCCGTGATATATTGGAAGGCAGAACAATTAGTGTTCAATTTAACCAGCTATTTCTTAGACCTAACAGAGAAAAAATAGACTTTCTTCTTGAGGTAAGATATTGCTCCCCTTTTGATTCATAATTAATTAGTTAATTAATCAATTTGGTACAGGGAATTGAATCCAGAAGCACTTTACCATTGATCCATATACCCACCCCTTTTTATTTTTAGTCGGGGTCTTGCTATGTTGTTTGAGCCTTGCTTAATTGCTGAGGCTGGCCTTGAACTTATGATCCTCCTGCCTCAGCCTCCCAAGTTTCTAGGATTAAAGGTGTGTACCACCATATCCGGCCATAATTGATAATTTTGCTTTTAAGTTAACCATTGCCCCTTTACTGCCTTTATCAAACTTCCTTTTCTGTGATGGATAGTTGATATTCTTGACAAACAATACCCTTTAACTTCTCTTCATCATAGCTCTTTGAGTACCCCTTCTCCATATTTCTTCTATAGTTTTTATTGGATTTTCTTTGTTCCTGCATTGACTTTTGGCCTCTTTAGTGGTTTGTTTATACAGCTTTCATCCTTGGCTCATTTATCTTCTCAAGCCATATTTTGTTCTCATACAGAGCTTCAGTTACCTGTTGTCATTGTGCACTAGAAACTCTCAAATCATGCCTCTAGTGTGTCATGTGAGCTGCAGAATCCATACGTTTTTGCTGGATTTCTCTACCTCTTCTTTTTTTTGGTATCGGGATTGAATCTGGGGGCATTAATCACTGAGCTACATGCCAGGCCCTTTTTTATTTTTTATTTTTTAATTTTTTATTACCAGGGTATTGAACCCAGGGGCGCTTAACCACTTTGCCATACCCCCAGCCCTTTTTATTTTTTATCTTGGGACAGGGTCTCACTAAGTTGCTTAGGGTCTTGCTAAATTGCTGAGGCCAACTTTGAACTTGAATCCTCCTATCTCAGCTTCCTGAGCCACTGGGATTACAAGTGTGTGTTCCACCATACCTGGCCTACCTTTTTATTTTTTGTTTTGAGACAGGGTCTTACTAAGTTGATGAGGCTGGCCTCAAACTTGAGATTCTCCTGGTTCAGCCTCTGAAGTTGCTGGGATTGCAGGTGTACAGCACCACGCCTGGCTGAATTTCTTTACCTCTTAATGATTTTGATATAATAGGAACTGAGAGAATTCTGTGAAAAATAATACCAATTAATCAAAAACAGAGCATTGCCAACATTCTAGAAGCCCTTCTTATGCGCTTTACCAAACCCTCAGTTTCATCTTGAGGTAACCATTACCCTTTTTTGTGATAATCACTTTCTTGCTGATCTTTGAAAATACTTGAAAGCATATTGTCTACTTTGAACTTCATGTAAATGAAATCGTACAATATGTATTTTTCATCTTTAACTGAACATTAAATTTGTGGGATTTATTCAAGTTGTGTTTAGATACAGTTTTGTGTTTGTGTTTTTTTTTTTTTTATTCTCGGAAGGTGTTAAAACTTTATATGGACCATGCCATAATTTATTTATCAAACGATGATGGACATTTGTGTTGTTTGAAACATACTTGCACATATACGCAGGTGCACACTTATATCAGTTTGTTACACATTGAGGGAAAGTATGTCTGCAACATTATAATATCAAAGTGATATGTATCATCAGCATTTTATAATTATTCTCATTGGTCAGTATCTTTGCCAACCCTTTATAGTGTGTGATTTGCCTATCAGATGGTTATTTAACAGTATCTCATTGAAATTTTAATTTCTATTTCAATATTGTCGAGATTGGACAACTTTTCATTTGTTTTATTTATTTATTTCCATGGTTCTATTGTCTGAACCCCAGGCCTCTTGCATGATGGGCAAGCATTCTATCAGAGGTGTATCTCCTGTCCTTATTTTTGTTTATATAAATTTTATCTTTTGAGATAGCTGTTCCAAATGTTGTCTTTCATTTTTCTATTAGGTTGTCTTTTTGGAAGGAGGTTTTGTTTCTTGTTTTTTTTTTTTAATTTTTTTTTTTCTTTGTAGGAATTCTTTATTCTCTTTGACCAGTTTTCAGTGTTGCAGGTATCTTCTCTGAGTTTGATTTCTTTCAATCTTAACAATGTTTCAAAATTTTAATATAGTCAGTCTTACCAATCTTTTCCTTTTTGGTAGTGATGTCTGTGTGTTCAAGAAAGCTTTTCTGGGACTGGGCTGTGGCTCGGTGGTAGAATGCTTGCCTAGCACGCATGAGACACTGGGTTTGATCCTCAGCACCACATAAAAATAAATAAAATAAAGGTATTATGTTCATCTACAACTTGGAAAAAAAAAATGGTGTTGAAGTTGTAGCTCAGTGGTAGGGTGCTTACCTAGCACATGTGAGGCCCTGAGTTCAGTCCTCAGGAAAATAAAATTCTAAAACATTTTTTAAAACGATAGCTTTTCCTATCTTAGGGTGTGAAGATAGTCTTCTGTTTTTGTTTTTGTTTTTTTTTTCTTTTAAAGAGAGAGAGAGATGAGAGAGAGAGAGAGAGAGAGAATTTTTAATATTTATTTTTTAGCTCTCTGCGGACACAACATCTTTGTTGGTATGTGGTGCTGAGGATCGAACCCGGGCCGCACGCATGCCAGGCGAGCGCACTATCGCTTGAGCCACATCCCCAGCCCCTTGTTTTTTTTTAACATATATATTTTTTAGTTGTAGATGGTGCTGAGGATCAAACCCAGTGCCTCAAGAGTGCAAGGCAAGCACTCTACCACTGAGTCCTAGCCCCAGCCCCCCAGTCTTGTATTTTGTCTTCTAAAAACTTGTCATAGATTTCCTTTCACATTTAGGTGTTTTTAATCCAAAAATCTTTGGTTTTTCTGTATCATGTGAAGTCAGAGGTCAGATGTCATTCTTTTCTTTTTTATATGACTACCCATTTGTTCCAGCACAATTTATTATTATTCTGTTTTTATTATTATTATTATTATTATTAACTAGTTTTAGGGCCACTTCTGTTCTGTACCAAGTGTGGGTTTGTCATTGAGCTCTCACTTTTTTTTTTTTTTTCCTGCTGAGGATATAACCCAGGACCTTGTATAAGCGCTCTGCCATTAAGCTATACCTCAGCCTGACTGATTTACTAGTTAATATTTATTGTTAGTTTTTCTTATAATTATTCCTTATCTGATTATGAAAGTTCCTTTGTATCCTTAATTCACTAAGGATTCTTTTAAATTGTGAATGATTTTAGATTTATTAATTACTTTTCCTATGTATATTGAGATGATCACAGTTTTCTAATTTATAGTTTATTTATTAATTTACATGTGTTATATAGATTAGTTCATCTGTTCATGTTTATATATGTATATTTTAAAATTTTTTTTAACATTCACGTGTGAGATTGATACATATATTTTTATTTTCCTATTTGATTTAGTGTTAAACAATGTAAATCAGGGCATATATCTTTTTAAAAAATTTTTTTTGTGTGTGTGAGAGAGAATTTTTTTTCAATATTTATTTTTAGTTCTCGGAGGACACAACATCTTTGTTGGTATGTGGTGCTGAGGATCGAACCCAGGCCGCACGCATGCTAGGCAAGCGAGCTACCGCTTGAGCCACATTCCCAGCCCGTTTTTTAAAATTTTTTTAAATGGAGTGTATAAAAATGAAGTTGCTGGTTATTTTATTTTTTTCTTCAGTATTAGATAGAATTTACCAGTAAAGCCTGGGCTAAGGACTTTTTGTGATATTTTTGACATTGATTCAATTTCATCAGTGATTGTAGAGCTATTGCTTTTCTCTTTTTTCTTGGGTTAGTTTTAGGAAGTTATTTTCTAAGAATTTGTTTATTTCATCTAAATTTTAAGCTTATTAACATTTTTATTGTTTATAGCATTTATAGATGTCTGCTAATTCATGTTCTTAAGTAACTTTTAAAAAGTAAGGTAAAATTCTGCCGGGTGGCACACACTTTTAATCTCAGAAGCTCAGGAGGCTGAGGCAGGAAGATTGTGATTTCAAAGCCAACTTCAGCAAAAGGGAGGTACTAAGCAACTCAGTGAGACCCTGTCTCTCAACAAAATAGGGTTGGGGATGTGACTCAGTGGTTGAGTGTCCCTGAGTTCAATCCCTGGTACCTTCAAAAAAAAAAAAACAAAATTAAGGTGAAATTATCATACCATATACTTATTTATCATGCATTAAATATTTTCTGTGTCGTTCCATGATACCTGTACAGTACATCTCTGAATGAGACCAATTACAGGTGTGCACCAGTGCCCCCAGCCCCTTTTTATTTTTTTACTTTGAAACATGGTCTTGCTAAATTGTTTAGGGTCTTGCTAAGTTACCGAGGCTTGCTTTGAACTTGCAATACTCCTACCTTATTGGGATTACAAGCATGCAATGCTGTGCCCAGCATGGCCTTGTATTTCTTTCTTTCTTTTTTTTTTTTAAAGAGAGAGAGAGAGAGAATTTTTTAATATTTATTTTTTAGTTTTTGACGGACACGACATCTTTGTTTGTATGTGGTCCTGAGGATCGAACCTGGGCCGCATGCATGCCAGGCGAGCGCGCTACCGCTTGAGTCACATCCCCAGCCCGGCCTTGTATTTCTTGACTCAGGCAATCCTCTGCATATAGTTGGCGCTACAGGCAAATACTACCATGGCTTTTGTTATTTTAATAATAGTTTCATTGAGATATAATTCACATACCATGCAGTCCACCTAAAGTGTACAATTCAGTAGTTTTAGTATATTTTTAGGGTTGTGTGACATCACCTTTTTTCTTTACCTCCACCAAACCTCTTACCATTTACTCCTCATTTTTTTCTAAATACCCCAATCTTAGAATCTACTCTCCCTGTTTTTTTTTTTTTTTTTTTTTTTTGTGGTGCTGGGGATTGAACCCAGGGCCTTGTGCATGAGAAGCAAGCACTGTACCAACTGAGCTATATCCCCAGTTGTCCCCCCCACTTTTTTTTTTTAACCAGTACATCCCAGACCCTTTTTTTTCTTTTAAAAATATTTTTAGTTGTATATGGACACAATACTTTTATTTATTTATTTACGTGGTGCTGAGAATCCAACCCAGTGCCTCACATGTGCTAGGCAAGTGCTTTACCACCAAGCTACAACCCTAGCCTCCCTGGACCCCCACCCTCCCCTTTTTGAGATAGGTTCTCATGAAGTGTCCAAGGCTGGCCTTGAGCTTGCTATTCTCCTGCCTTAATCTACAAGTTGCTGGCATTACAGGTGTGGTCCACTGTGTATGTCTGTCAGAATCTATTTACTTTATAGATTTGTCCTTATTGGAATTGTCATATAAATTTATTTATATAATAGTTGGTCTTTTTTAATTGGCTTCTTTCACTTAGTTTAACATTCTCATGGTCCATGTTGCAGCCTTTATCACATTCCTTTTTTAATTAAATAATATTCCATTTTTGTTCATTTATCCATTTGTGAGACTTTAGGTTGTTTATTTATTTCAGTTTAAAAATATTTGACACATTGAGGATAGGAGCCCTTATATTATATTTTATTTTGACTTCTTGTAAGTACTATTTCAGGAGAAATCATAATCTATGAAATAAATGTAGAATAACATGAAAATATTGTGTGTACATAACTAATATCCACTTAATTAGTTTCCATTATTATTTCATTGTTTATATTTTCAGCTGCGGTTATTTTCTTAACTGTTGGTTCTATGGTTCTATATTCATTAGCTGTTACTGATCATTGTTTTCAACTCTCTTTTCTGACAGGAACTGTTGATTCCTAAAGCTTAATCACTTCATGTAATCTGGTCATACACCTTAAAAATTCTGAGAGAATAACACGTTAAATTATTTGTAGTAAATTATTCTTTACAACCTGTATGTACCCGCAGTTATTAGAACATTCACCTTTCTCTAGTGAATTTTTACTCATTAATCTTAGCTCTTGTCTTAATCAGACCTGTCAGTACTATACTGTTGAAACAGGAAAATTTGATTGTTTTAAATCAACACTTTTCAACCTGATCTACCTTTTTTAAAGCACTTATATTCAATTGAAAATTACTCAAATTCCTAGGTATGTTCAAGATCAATAAATTTAGAAAAAGCTTCAGATTGTCTGAAAGGAAATATGGCTGCTTTTCTAAAGTAAGTACATTTTTCTTTTTTTAACCTTTGAACTTAGTCCCATGAGAAGAGTATCTTTTATTACCTTTTTGTATATGTCCTCTATCTCTTATAATCAGGCAGACATATTGGAAAAACTAGTTAAGTTCAAATTGGTGTAGCCAACTGAAACTTTTGGATTATGTAGTTACTTTTCTAGTATATTGTAGCACTGGTATTAAAATTTTAAATAACAATCAAAGGCAAATTTTAAAATCTATTTAAAGATATTGTAATATAATTTATGAAATGATTAGCTTTTTAAATGGTTTATTAATATAAATTGATTCATATGATTTTTTTCCTCAAACTAAATTATACGCTTTTTTGTTTTATAATATTTCTTACTGATCTAGGAATGTGTGTCTGGGGTTGGAAGATCTGCAGTATGTTTTCATGATTTCTTCACATGAGCTTTTCATTACATTGTTGAAAGATGAAGAACGAAAGCTTCTTGTTGATCAGATGAGGAAGAGATCCCCTAGAGTAAATCTGTGCATTAAACCTGTAACTTCATTTTATGATATCCCAGGTTAGCTCTCCAGTCTGCCAGCTAGACTGTTGGCACATTTTGCCCCTCTATTCAAATTAACATTGAAATATATTTAAGGATCCCCTTTTACTTGTTTTGTTTATAATTTATAGATATTTATGTGTGTGCTCTAGTTAGATTTCTGTATGAGTCATTAAGTACTAGGACTCTGTTGAGTGTATGGTAAATAAACAATCTTTTATTAGGCCAAGATTTTGGATAATTATATAGAATATTTTAGATGGGGAAATAGATCAAGATAACCCTACAGCTAATAAGTTGTTGGAGGTAAAAACAAGAAGGGATGGGGCTGGGATTGTGGCTCAGTGGTAGAATGCTTGCCTAGAACGTGCGGGGCCCTGGCACCACATAAAAGTAAATGAGTGGAATAAAGGTATTGTGCCCAACTACAACTAAAAAATAAATAAATATTAAAAAAAAAAAAAGGGAAGGGGAATAGTGAGGGATAGTGGACCCAGAAAGATGAAAATTTTGATTTTAGCCTTTATCATTGTGCTGCTATGTGTTGACTAAACATTCAGCTTTGGCAACATTTTCATTTTTGTTTATTTATTTAATGAATTCTCCAATTTTTGTCCTTATTCATAAAAAGTGGAAAATACAGTGCTCTTTATTAATAAGAAACATAAGCTTCAAAATTTAGTACAGATGAGACAAAAGAATTCAGTTGATTTAACATAAGCAAAGTTTTATCTACTTTAAGTGCTTTCATTAACACATTATGTTCAAAAATAGGAATCTCTATATGAATTAATTCTTTCCATATATCCTGAATATTCTTTCCATGAACCAGTTATTGACTTTAACTTTGTTTATATCTTCACTGTTTTTCAAATGGATTCACTTACTAAATTCACATGTATTTCAAATTGTGGTAGGTTTTGTGTGAAGATAAAGTTAATAAATAACTTACATTATGTTGAGTGAATCAGTTCTCAAAATGATAGCTGCTTTCAACTTTGAATACTTACAAATATGTTTCAGTTGTCATTCTCGTACGTTTACATATATCTTTGAGTTAAATCATTAAAATGGAACTCTTATCTTTTTTTAGCCTCAGCAAGTGTCAACATTGGTCAGTTGGAACATCAACTTATATTGTCAGTGGATCCCTGGAGGATTCGACAGATTTTAATAGAATTACATGGTATGACTTCAGAGCGACAGTTTTGGACAGTATCTAATAAGGTAAGAAACTCAAGAACAGGTGTGAATTAATTTTCATTTTCTAATTTATTAAAAGGGCTGTTCCCTGGTCTTTTTGAGAAAAAGGATCCATTTTACTTATAGTCTTCACCCAACCATAATTGTACTTTTATTGTACATTGTCAGAAAAAATTGAAAATGGGGAAAAAAAAACTTTAAATCAGTAACATCTAAAAATGTTATATTGTTTGTTACTGAAGTGTCTACATGCATTTTAAATATAGCTGTAAATATATGTGTAATGTATACTACCTATTAATAATCTTACTCTTCAGGGTCCCTTTCTCTCTGACTAGTCTGGTTATCAAACCCAGGGATTTGCTTTTGCTAGAAAAGCACTCTATCACTGAATTGTACCTTGGGTCTTTGTTTTTACTTTGTTTATTTATTTTTAAATAATTTTTTTAGTTGTAGATGGACATAATACCTTTATTTATCTATTTTTTAATATTTATTTTTTAGTTATAGGTGGACACAATATCTTTATTTTATGTGGGGCTGAGGATCCTACTGCCTCATGCATGTTAGATGAGCGCTCTACCTCTGAGCCACAATCCCAGCCCTTTATTTATCTATTTTTATGCTATATTGAGGATTGAACCCAGTACCTCACATGTGCTATGCAAGTGCTCTACCACTGAACTACAACCCCAGTTCCTTATTTTTACTTTATTGTGTGTGATTTGTATATTGGGGATCAAACCTAGGAGTTCTCTACCTCTGAGCTATATATCCAGCCCTCCATCTTATGAGTAACTAAAATTACAGGCATTCACCACCTTGTCCAGCTTGGTTTTGCTTCTTAATACTGTCTTCAAATCTAAAGCCTACACCATGGAATCTCAGTGTATTTAAAGTTCTTTTTTTTTTTTTTTAATTTTTTGTAGTTGAGTATGGACATCATACCTGTATTTTATTTGTATGTGGTGCTGAGGATCAAACCCAGTGTCTCACACATACTAGGCAAGAGTTCTGTCACTGAGCTACAGCCCAGCCTTAAAAGTTCTTCATAGAACATTTTTTTGCTTTCAATGTTCTTTTAAGGTCCCACCTAATGTATTTACCTATTTCTGAGGTTATCTATTTAAATTTCTTCCATGGAAAGTGTAAGTGAAAATAGCTTTTAAAGTCCCATTTCAGCCATGCGTGGTGTCACACACCTGTAATCCCAGCAGTTTGGGAAGCTGAGGCAGGAAGATTGTGATTTCAAATCTAGCCTCTGCAATTTAGGGAGGCCCTGACGAATTCAGTGAGACTCTGTCTAAAAATATATAAAGGGTCTGGGGATGTGGCCAGTGGTTAAGCGCTCCTGGATTCAATCCCCGGTACCAATAAAACAAAAAAACATAATTTCAGTGAAAAATAGATTAGAGATAAAAGGAAATAAACCATAGATATAGGAGAAGTATGTGGCAGTGCTTTTAATTAACTGCATAGTGCCCTTCCTGCTGAAGTAGTAGTGGAAAAGCAGCCAGAAAAGTCCTTATATAGGACTTAAGCATACTTAATTACAGTGAAATGAAAATTTTTTTTCTTTGAAAAGGATCTGTAAATGATTTTTTTCCCCAAAATGATTTTTTTCCCTCCTGTACTGGGTCTTGAACCTAAGGGTGCTCTACCACTGAAATATATCCTCAACCCTTTTAATTTTATTTTGAGATAGGGTCTTGCTAAATTACAAGTGTCTCACCAAGTTGCTGAGGCTGGCCTCGAACTTGGAAACCACCTCAGTTGCTGATTACAGGTGTGTGCCTGGTTTATTAATGATTTTTTAAAAAATGTGTTTGAATGTTATTGAAAGATTCTCATCTACATTTGGCTTCCTCTGTGTGTAATGTATTTTTATTTCTTCTAGTGGGAAATACCTTCTGTGTATAGTAGTGTAATCCTGGGAATTAAGGACAGTTTAACAAGAGATTTAGTGTATATTCTCATGGCCAAAGGCTTACACTGCAGTACTGTTAAGGTGAGTAAAAGTGTACATCAGTGCTTGTTATGAATATACTTTAATAATTTTAGCAAGTGACAGGAATTAAAACCTGTTATCTTTTCCTTGTCTTAAAACCAAAGTATAGGCCTAAAAAGATTGGCCTAAAAAGCCATTTGAAAAAGCATTTTAGTCAGTTCTTTTTCTTTTGCCTTTATAATTACATCGCATATGGATACCATTCTATACCTTTTTAAAAGTCTAGAAATCAGGCATGGTGGTGTGTGCCTATAGTCCAGCTACTTAGGAGGCTGAAGCAGGAGGGTCACTTGAGTCTAGGAGCTCAGGGTTAGCTTGGACAACATAGTGAGACTCCCATCTCTTGAATGAATGAATTTAGAGAGCATGAAAAGTTATCATTTGTATTCTTTAGGATTTAGTTAATAAAGATTGTATAAAAGGATTAAAAAATTAAAAAATGTTAAAATTACTTTTGTAGTATATTTAATTTTTATTTTATTTTTTTTAGAGAGAGAGATTTAATATTTATTTTTTAGTTTTCGGCAGACACAACATCTTTGGATGTGGTGCTGAGGATCGAACCTGGGGCGCACGCATGCCAGGCGAGCACGCTCCCGCTTGAGCCACATCCCCAGCCTATGTAGTATATTTTATATAAGGAATTTGCAGTCTGGGAAGTTAAGGCATAAGCACAAATCATATAAAAGTGTAATTTTGAAACTAAAAGTTTTTCTGTTCTCTAGGAAGCTTAAAGATAGCATTTGGAAGGCAGAACTCCTGAGCTAAAACTGAGGTTTAAATCAGGTAGCTATTTAAAGAAAGTGAAAGATATTGAAGGCAAGAGGATGATACCATGAGGAAAAGTTGGAAGACAAGAAAGGATGGTATATGAGGGGATTGGAAACAGTTGCCTTTGATTATAGCATTGTTAGGTGAGACAGGCAATAAAGCGTTTCTGGGCCAGCATTCCTACCTAAATCGTGCGGCTAGAAGTAGTCTAAGATATAGACATTGTAGTTTAAGAAGCAGTTCCTAGCTTCTCAACTTGATACTCCTTCCTAAATTAGCCTGAAGACACATACACGTACAGTCCACATGTAATGTCAGTTCTCCATTTCCACCTCTGTTTTCACAGGTGTCCTTTTCCTGTTTAGTAAACTAAATTGGGTGGGAGAGCAGCATACAAGTTTTGAAACCAAGTGGTTTAAGTCCTCTGATTTTGTTGTATTTGAAAGTTATATTAACTATTATAGGTAATTTGCTTTTTCATGTAAATTTTAGAATCAGCTTTTTAGTGGCTAAATAGTTTGCTATAATTTTGATTCAGATTGTAATAATTATAAGTAAATTTGGAGAAAATGGCTATTTTAATATTGATTCTGTTCATGTACATAGCATACTTGTTTTGTTTTTATACTCATCAGTTTGTAATTTTCATTGTACAAATCTTGCACGTTGTTGGATTTATCTGTAAATGTATGTTTTAAAAAATATAAAGTGCTGGGGTTGGGGCTCAGTGGTATTGCACTTGCCTGGCATGTGTGAGGCACTGGGTTTGATTCTCAGCACCACATATAAATAAATTAAGGTTTATCAACAACTAAAAAAAAAAAATTAAAAATATATAAAGTATAATTAATTATTCAAAAGCCAGTATTTTCACTACACCAGGAATAAACCCTTTGCATTTCCTTAAACTTATGCTTAAAGTTCACATTCATATAGTAAATATTTTTTTACAATAGTAGGAAGTGAGCGAAAATAATCAATCTTTTTTTTTTTTGTATGGTATTAGGGATTGAATCTAGGGGCTCTTAACCATTGAGCCACACGCAGCCTTTCCCCCCTATCCCCATCCCTTATGAGTTTAGTTTTTCAATGTATAATTTGAGGCTGCAATTGGAAACATAATCCTGGAGCCTGGGGAATGGTCTGGACTAGAGATACCATTGTGGGATTCTGGAAGATAACCCAGGAATTCACAGAGTCTGGAGCTCAAGGGAATGCAACATTGGGTCCAAAAACGAATGGTGTAATAGTTACAGGGATCAGATATGGAAAGGGAAAAAAGAATGTTTTTTAAAAACGTAGTGCACAGCACTGGAAGGTAACTGAAAAATGTTTAATTGATTAGAAAATCTTTGGCTTGTCAAAGTTATTTCTTTGTAGTGATGGGAGTACAGCCAGATTGTTAAAACGAATAAGACACTTGGAGAAAAGTAATGCTTGAAGATTAGTCTTTAGGAAATTTGGGATAAATAAATGATAGAGAAAAAGATAATCTGTCCTCACTTTCTGAGATAAGCATTGCTAATCATTTAAATTAATTCTTTGTTCTGTACTGAAGATACTTTTTTTTTTTTAACTCTAAGAAAAGATGACTCAGGGTATTCTGTCATTTCTTTTATAGGACTTTTCCCATGCTAAACAGCTATTTGCTGCTTGTTTGGAGTTGGTAACAGAGTTCTCACCAAAACTTCGTCAGGTCATGCTGAATGAGATGTTACTTTTGGATATTCATACACATGAAGCTGGAACAGGGCAGTCAGGGGAGAGACCTCCCTCTGACCTTATCAGTCGGGTGCGAGGATATCTGGAAATGAGGCTTCCTGGTAAGACTGATTCACAAAGTCAAATTCAGAAATTCAGTACTTAAGTGTGGGAAAAACACTAAAAAAAAAATTGACTTTTTAACTGTCTATAAAAATTATTTTTCTAACAGGATTTGGGTTTGGCATTCACTTGAGAACAGTGGGGAAAATGGAGGAAATATTTCCTAGGATTTCTGTAACACAGTACCACAAACTGGGTGATTTTACAACAAAAATTTATTGTTAGGAGCTAGATGTCTGAAATCAAGGTGTATCAGGCCTTTCTTTTAAAGGCACTTTTATCTCTTCCTTATTTCTCGAGGCTCCCAGCAATCTTTGATCTTCCTTGGTTTGTAGCTGCATCCAGTCTCTGCCTTTGTCTTTACATAGCATCCTCTCTTGTTGTTGTTTGTTTATTCTCTTCTTACAAGGATACCAGGCATTGGATTTGGGGCCTGCCTTAAACCAATATGGCCTTATCTCAATTAGTTTTATCTGCAGAGGCCTTGTTTCCAAATAAAGTCACATTCTGAAGTTCCAGGTGGCCATGAATTTTTGTGGCACTATTTAATGTGCTATAAAAGCTACATTGCAGGGTTTTTGTTGTCATTTTGTTTTGGTTTTGAAGAAGGGTCTTGCCATTTTGCCCAGGTTGCCCTGGAACTCCTGGTTTCAAGTGATCTTCCTTCCTTGGCTTAATGAGTAGATAGGACTGCTGGTATGTATTACCAAACCCAGCTTCTACTGTAGTTTCAAGATAGTCTGGTAAAGAATCATAATGTCCTTACGAATACAGGTTGAAGGTTTGTTTCCTCATCACTGCCCTAAAATGTCCTTAAATTGATTGCCAGTGGGTCAGGAGTTCACTTGTGGCCACTTTAGAACAGAGCTTGAGCACTCAGTTTCATTGATAAATATCTTTTAGTGAAAATGGGCATATTAGGCCAGATGTGGTGGTACACACTTGGGAGGCAGAAGCAGGAATATCACAAGTGTTGAGGCCAGCCTGGGCAACTTAGTGAGACCCTGTCTCAAAAAGGGGTGATGTGTAGCTCAGGTGTACCTCAGGTATAGCATGGTTGCCTAGCATGCATAAGACCTGGATTTAGTTTCTCTTCACCTCTCTTTGATTTTTAATTTTATAGGTTTTAAATTTATTTAAAGGAATTAAATCATAATCTACACATTTAATACTATAACTAATAAAATTGAGTTGTAAAGAAACGTACCTATACAGTAACAACTGTTGGCCAACTAGAGGTCTTATGAGTTAATTACATTTTAATTTCCCACAGGGGCCATGTAGTTATGAATCACATTTTTTTTTTTTAGCATTGTAGGTAGAATACCTTTTTTTGTTTTGTTTTTTTGGTGCCAGGGATTGAACCCCAGAGGTGCTTAACCACTGAGATAAATCCCAGCCTATTTTTATATATTTTTTTTTAATTTTTAATATTTATTTTTTAGTTCTCGGCGGACACAACATCTTTGTATGTGGTGCTGAGGATCGAACCCGGGCTGCACGCATGCCAGGCGAGCGTGCTACCGCTTGAGCCACATCCCCAGCCCTATTTTTATATTTTTATTTAGAGACATAGTCTCACTAAGTTGTTGAGTGCTTCACTAAATTGCTGAGACTGGTTTTGAACTTGAAATCCTCCTACCTCAGCCTCCTGAGCTGCTGGGATTAGAGGTGTGTGCCACCACGCAGGCGTAGGTATGATACCTTTGAGACATTTAATGTATCAGTCCTCTTTGATATCATAATTTTATTTTATTTTTTTGGTATTGAGGATTGAACCCAGAGGGGCTTTACCACTGAGCCACATCCCCAGCCCTTTTTATTTTGAAACAGGTCTCACTAAGTTCCTTAGGGCCTTGCTAAGTTGCTGAGGCTGACTTTGAATTTGTTATCCTTCTGCCTCAGCCTCTGGAATTGCTGGGATTGTAGGCATTTGTCACATGCCCAGCAATACCATATTTTTATAAGAATTGATCTAGTATTATGCTGGCATTAAATCTTGATGGACACATGCTTGTTATGAACATGCTTTTTAAAGATAGTTGGTTTTCATACATGATTTTTCTTAATGAAAAGAAGTTTAAAACCTTAACATTTTTTAGTGTTAGCTACATGTCAAGACATTGCTCTTAAGAACTTCAGTTGCATAACTCATTTAGTCCTCATAGCAGCTTTGTGAAGAAGCTACTGTGCATTATCCCCATTGTGTAAATAAAGTAATTGAGGTGCTGAGAGTTTAAAGCATTGCCCCAAATCACAAAGTAAAGAGAGTTAACTGGGTGTGATTTTATTAATCCCTGAGTCCAGTTTCTAAGTCTGTGCTCTTACTCTTTGAAATGGGTGGAAGTGACTTTAATTAGTAGTCTATTGCACTACACTTTTTTGTGGGGGGCTGGCTGGTGATTGAATCCTGGACCTCCCACATGCTAGGCTAACGCTCTGCCATTGAGCCACCCCCCCATTTCCTTATGACTTTTTTTGGGGAGTGGGGGTAATCAGGGATTAAACCCAGGAGTGCTTAACCACTGAAACATAGGCCCAGCCCTTTTTATTTTTTTACTTTGAGACAGGGTCTCATTAAGTTGCTTAGGGCCTCACTAAGTTGCTGAGGCTCTCTTCTGAACTCCTGATCCTCCAGCATCAGCCTCCCAAGCCAGTGGGATTACGGGTGTGAGCCACTGCAACTGGTTTCTTCTGAATGACTTTTTTTTTTTTGGTAGTTGTAGATGGATAGCATGCCTTTATTTTATTTTTTTATGTGGTGCTGAGGATCAAACCCAGTGCCTCCCACGTCCAAGGCAAGCACTCTGCCAGTGAGCTACAGCCGCAGCCCCCTGTATGACATTTTTGATTTAACAGTTTGTCAGTCATATCACTTTTTTCCATTTTGTTTCATAAGAGGCTTATCACTCTGCATATAGTTTATGTAATTTCTTAATTTGCTGAATGTTCAGCTTGTCCTATTGCTTGTACTAGTTACCTGAGTTGAGCATAGACTCTGGCCTCTGCTGTTCTAGCTGTGTACCTCAGTGCCAGTGTAAGAGTTGATGTTGATAGGCATGCTTTCTCCAGAGGTCAAGAGAGGGAGAGAAGAAAGTTGTCATCTGCCACCTTCTCTTCACTCCTTTTTAAAGGAAAAGAGGCCAGTTTTGCACAAAGTAGATGCATGCCCTCTATAGAATACAGAGAAGCATTCTTTTACATGGGTTGACCTGCTTTTATTTTAAGGAACAGGAAGTGATCTTAACTGACAACAGATCCAGGCCTTTCAGTTATAGTAGAAATAAGAGGAAGATATTAATTTTTCTAATACTACTAATGTCTTTTGGCAGAGAGCTCTACTTTTCTGTAGCCAAGTAGGTTAGATTTCTATTCCTTTTTGTTTGTCAGCTGCAGCTAAATTGAATGTTAGGGCAACTCTGGCTGTTAAGAGTTTATGACAAAGCACTTGACTTTGCACTTTTAATGAATAATTCTATTGCCAGTACTTTAGGGGAAATTTAATCTCTAAATCACTGACTCTCAAGCTGAATCAGAATCCAGCTCCCTAGGTTTAAGCATCATTCCTCTGGCAAGCCAGTATTACTGATGAAGAGGTCTGAATAAAGGAAGCCTTGGAGCCAAGTCCTCCCTTCAGCAAAATGCATAGAGCAGTAATAGGCATGTATTTGGGGATCTGATTTCACTTTTTTCTTCATTCTGTCTTCAGAAGATGATGCAGATAATGTATTTATATTTTATTTTGCTGTCCTTTGCATATTTTTCATCACCTCACATCCTTTTTTGGAATAAAATGTGATAAAAATAGCCATAGACACTGTCCAAGAAATATAAAAAGACTGAGGAATACAGTTATCTAGAAAAGGGGAGCTCATTTTTCCCATATTGTCTTAACATTGTTAGTTAGGATTTAATTTGGTTTCTTTTTCCTTAAGTATCTTAAAATTTGAAATTATGTACTTTAAGCTACAAACTTTTGCAACGTATTAGGGTATATTTAATTATTTCAAAGGAAATATTGTTGAAAATGGCTGATTTTTCTTGCTACTTTTTTACTTGATATTTTTTTGTAGAACAGTAAATGGTTTTTGAATGAGTAAATGACTTTTATGAGTATTACAGTTGAATCAAAAAACTTAAAAAGATAAATAGATTAACAGATTCATCGCTATTTTATATAGTTTACCTATTTTCTGTAAACATGCTAAACATTTATACTGTACCATTTTGTACTTGTTTTACTTGTATAATTATTTTCTGCTCACTTGAATTATAAGTTTCTATAGGACAGGTATCAACTTTTACACTTTCACAGTGGATTTTTGAGCTCTAAGGGATAATTTACCTGATTAATAATAATGGAGACCATGGACATGTATTGTTGGGAGATGTTAAACTTTATTATAGAAAAGTATAAAATATTAGCATTACTTTATTTTTGTTCTGTAGCTTTTTTTATTAATCATTTGAAATCTGAGCAGATATTATGATGGTTATTCCAATCGTTTGTTTTTTTTTAGATATTCCTCTTCGTCAGGTAGTAGCTGAGGAATGTGTTGCTTTTATGTTAAACTGGAGAGAAAATGAATATCTTACACTGCAAGTTCCTGCATTTCTACTTCAGAGTAATCCATATGTAAAGGTAATTAAGGTTTTTAATCTCAACAAAGTGATTATTAGAATGTTGTTGTACCTGTTTTTTAATACTACTTTGGGAATTTGACTAATTTCTGTGATACAGTGTAAGATGGGACAAATGCTTGTAGTTAAAATCATAGTATTTGACAATACATACACTTGACTTTGCCCTATAACTCTTGAAGATACAAATGCAAATAATAATGTTAACAGACAACACTTTGGTATAATCATAGTGTAGTGCGAGGTTTGTTAAGTTTTGCTTTAAGTTCTATGATTAAAATACAGAACCAGTGATGCTTCTGTACATTTTCTATTTGAACATCTTACCTTTTTTTTTTTAATCAGTTTACTGTTCTAAGTTTGATATTCCTGAATCTATATCATCTTTGCTAATTAATAACATGTTTTGTATATACCAATATGAAAGAATTTACTCATCTAGTCATGGTGGCACATACCTGTAATTCCAGCAGCTTGGGAAGGCTGAGGCAGGAGGGTGGCAAGTTCAAGGACAGCCTCAGCAATTTAGTGAGGCCCTAAGTAACTTGGCAAGATCCTGTCTCAAAAAATGAAAAGGATTGGGCATGTGGCTCAGTGGTTAAGTACCCCTGGCTTCAATCCCTGGTCATCCCATGTGGTCTCCCTGCCTGCCTGCCTCCCTTTCCCCCCAAAAAAGTTTGAGGCCAGACTCTGCAACTTAATGAGAGCCTTGGCAACTTAGTGAAACCCTGTATCAAAATTAAAAATTAAAGGGACTAGGGTTGTAGCTCAATGGTAAAATACTCTGTGTTCACTCCCTAATACTAAAACAAAACAAAAACATTGTTATACTTTATCCTTTTCTTAGGAATTTCAGACATTGGATCAGATCTCTCTATTGAGTGAACTTTCTAGGTTATGAATGAGTCCCTGATATTTAGGGTACTGATATGACTATGCTTAACAGTCTATGCTTAATCTTTAATAAACTCTCAAATGAGAGTTGTTCCAGGCTTATTGTCATTTCCACTTAACGTAGTTTGCTGCACAGTGTTAAGGCACTGAGAACTCTGTGGAGTTGTATACTAGAATAGACAGGCAAATGATTTTGTAATGAATATTTGAAGGCCTGTGATATATAAGAATACAAGAAATTGTGTTGTAGGCTAGGTTATCTTGCTGCTTCCTGCACTTCTCTGGTGTGGCCCAAAAGAATGTGTGGTGACTTTGCCAAAAGTAGTTAGAGATGCATCTCATCAAGTCATCTGATGATTGGGTTTTTTATACCTCTTTCCATAGCTGGCTCCTGCCTCTCTGGATAATGTTAAGGCAAGAGAACTCTGAAGTTCAGAGTAAGAAGAGTTTGTTCTTTAAAAGTAATAGGAGAAATTAATAAGTACTATATCTTGGGAAAGCCTGACAGAATAACATATTTTCTTGATATTGGAATATAGGGTAATTTAACCAATTTTTTTCCTGCTTTACATGTTTTCTTATTTATTTTATATATATATATATATAATTATGTAATCACAGAAAAGAAAGGAAAAATTGTAAGCATGTGACTAAATAATACCCTTTTGCAATAATGCAGAACTGTCTAGTCTGCCCCGTGGATCAGAATGGGAGGCAGTGTGGCTGGTGGTAATAGTAGATATAGTGTGGGATAAACGTCCAGGTTTTTAATATGACCTACAAGACCTTTTAAGGTATAAGTGCTTCTCCTGTAGGTGTGTTTCCCTGCACCTTGCTATGCCCGCACCAGTATCCTTGCGTGATGTTTTCTAATGCTTTTGTGTGTTCTCTGCTGGGCTGTCCTTCCCATTTTTGCCTGTTTATGTAGTTTCTCATAAGCTTTCCTTTCTCCCTAAATAAGTAAATCACTTTCTCCTCTGAATACTAGTATGCGTTGTACTAGTCCTGCTCTTACTATTGTTGACATATTTCTTGTGTTTTTATGCTTTCTTTTTGTTTTTGTTTTAGTTGTAGATGGACACAATATATTTATTTATTTATTTATTTATTTTTAAAGAGAGAGAGAGAGAAGAATTTTAATATTTATTTTTTAGTTTTTGGTGGACACAGCATCTTTGTTTGTATATGGTGCTGAGGATCGAACCCGGGTCGCGCACACGCCAGGCGAGCACGCTACCGCTTGAGCCACATCCCCAGCCCTTTATTTTTATGTGGTGCTGAGAATCAAACCTGGTGCCTCACACATGTAAGGCAGGCACTTTACCACTGAGCTGCAGCCCCAGCCCCCTTTTTTTGTTTTCATACTATATAAAAAATTATTTGTTCACCTGTTTTTTCCTATAACATAGTGAGTTTCATGGGCAGTAATTTTTATATTTCCATGCCCTACATGGTGCCCCAAAATACTAGTGCTCAAAAAAAAAAAATACTAGTGCTCGAGGAGGTTTGTAGAATTTAGTTGATTTGGGAGACTTAAATCCTCTGAACCCCTGCTCCCCATCAGATCTATAAACATTGTAACAAGGTTTAGATGGAGGCCATCTCACACAACAGCATGAACACCCTATCATCACACTTGTGAACTGAAAATGATCTGAAAGTTCTTACTTTCATTTTTAATTTATATACTTAGTAAATTTAGTGATCTTCAGGTAAGCATATAATCCTTGACAATAGATAATGAATTTGAGATAAGGAACTATAGTAACCCTGGCATGGTATTGCATAAATAGCTGCATGTATTGTGATTCCAGTAATTGGAGAAGAATCTGTGCAGTGGGCATGCAGAATGAACTGTCCTGTGTATGCCTAATATCTATCACATGGTTCAAGCAGGGTTTGTACATCATTTTCACTAGATTTGGAAAGCACCAGTATTTTTCTTTTTTTATTGTTGATGGATCTTTGTTTATATGCGATGCTGAGAATTGAACCTAGTGTCTCACACATGCTAGGCAAGTGCTCTACCACTGAGACACAACCCCAGCACCAGTATTCTTGTTAATTTTCTTCAGTGTAATGAGAGTTGTGGTTATATAGGACAATGTCCTTGTCTTTAGAAAATGTATATTGATGTATTAGGGTTGAAGTAATAACCTGTAACTTACAAGTTTAATAAAACAGTGTATGTAGATAAAAAGCAAACTGGCATAGTTTTCACAGTGTATCATTTATTGAATTAAAGCACTATTTTTTTCATAATCTGTCCCCTCCTAAGAGAAGCCACCTTAAGCAGTGGGGACCTCATTAGAATACTTTCTAGGTACAGTTTGGTGGGAACTGGGGTTTTCAGATGAACTTGAAATTATTCTTGTCACTGAACCCCTTAAACGGAGCTGTGATATATAAAATTTAATGAGTAAGGACAGAGGGCCCTCTTTTGTTTGAAATTATGGAAAGAAAATGCTGAATTTGATTTAATCTGGTTTTCTCCTCTGTATTTTGGGCCTTTCTCTTCTCTGCCTGTTGCTTTCAACTCTTTCACTATTTTGGAGTTTTTCTTTTGTCTTAGGTCATTAAGGCTGCTGTTAATGAGATCAACCACTTTCTGTAATCTGTCCTTTCTTAATTCTGGCTCAGAATAGCAGTAGGTCTATCCCCAAGTGCAACCATTTTTGTTAGAGAAAAGTTGCTCTAAGGGCTGGGGTTATAGCTTAGTGATAGAGGCCCTGGGTTCAGTTCCCAGCATCAAAAAGAAAAGAAGAACAAGTTGCTTATTCCTTTTTCTGCCAACTTCAGTTTCCTTACTCATGAGTAAGGGTAACAAATGTGTAAGCATTATTTTAATGTCAGAACACAATTTACATGACAATTACCATATTTAGAGGTTTGGTTTATGGTGTTCTCTCTCCAGAAGCAAATCCTCACTTTTGGGTGGTACTAGGGATCAACCCCAGGGCCTCCAGCATGCAGGGCAAGTGTTCCACCATTAAGCTACACCCTCATATGATTTTTGATCTCTTTCCAAATACTACTTCCTACTACCTCAAAAAATTGACTTTTTATTCCTTATCTAACATTTAAAGGACAAATCCTTTGGACTTTCACCACAGTTAAGGTCATGGTGTGTGCTTTCCATTATAGACTTTATTATTATTTTTTAAAATTGTGCTGGGGATTGAGCCCAGGGCTTCATGCATACCAGGTAAACACTGCCACTGAGCTACATCTCCAGCCTTTTTTGAGACAGGGTCTCATTAAGTTAACCAGGTTGGCCTCAAACTTGGGATCCTCCTGCCTCATCAGGCTCCTAAATAGCTGGGATTACAAGTGTGTGCTACCACTCCCAGCTTCATAAATTTTCTTTAAAAGATGCATCATACTATGTATATTGGGCAGTTTTATCCACACTTAATCACTTATCTTTTTGTATTCATTATCTCATTTTTTGTTCTCATTAGCTTAGTTTCTATTCTCTTAGATTACAATTCTTCAGAAATGATGAGGTTTATAAGGTAGAACTAACGGATACTCTTCCTCAAATTCAGATCTGTCACTATACTGACAGTGAGTTCTGAATTTCTCAGAAGTTTTATTGAATGCATAGCATAAAATAACTGCTTGGTATGTTTGGACAGTTACCATCTTTCTTCAGTATAACCTAATAATAGAACTGTCATGACAGTATGATATAATGGATTATCTTTTGTCTGTTTTCTTTCTGTTTTTCATGTTATAGCTTGGACAGCTTTTAGCAGCTACATGCAAAGAACTTCCTGGCCCTAAAGAAAGTAGACGGACTGCTAAAGACCTTTGGGAAGTTGTTGTTCAGATCTGCAGTGTGTCCAATCAGCACAAACGAGGAAATGATGGCAGAGTTAGTTTAATAAAACAGAGGGAATCTACATTAGGTATAATGTATCGGTATGTGTTGGTATGTTTCTATCAGTTACAAGTTTTTGCATTCTCTTTAATTTATACTATCTGAACATCTACTTTTATTCTGTATATCATAATCTTAAGGAGTCAATGGCTCTCATTTCTGATGGACTTGTTTGCATAGCCACCTTTGAAAATATTTTCTGTTTAAGAGGACAGCCTATCAATAACTGAATAATCAGCTAGAACTCAAAAATCTGAGGTTGGATAGTACTAAATGTCTGATGTTAGATGGTATTAAAGAATTCTATGACTGGATTATGAAGCATGGCTTTAATTTTTGCTTGAAAAAATTAGTGTCATTTATTTAATGGTCATAACTTGGGTTTCATTCTTTAAATATTGTAAGAAATTAAAAAGTCAATTTTTGAGGTAATTGGAAGTACTAGTTGGAAAGAGGTCAGAAGTCATGAGGGAAGCTGCAGGTATAAGTCAGTGGTGGAGCACTTCTCTTGCAAGTTAGGATTATATAGATAACTTTGTGTTTCTCTATTAAAATTGGAAGAAATTTTTACTAGGTTATATTCCTTTTCATACATGTAGAATTGAACAGTTAAGAATGAACCTTCCCATATAATTTTCATACTTGAGTTTGTTTTAAAATCTGATATTGTGTATACAAAAAATATTTGTTTTTGTAGGAGTGAACTGCTTTCTTTTATCAAAAAATTACGGGTAAGTTTTATTAAAATCAATCTAATTACTTTTGTTGATTTTTGTAGAATGCTAAAATACATTGAGTGCCTCAAATGGCCGAATAGTTACTTGTTAATGTGCTCATCTGCAGCACTTCAATTCTTATTAGGGATGAGATAATCTGAATAGAGAAATTCACTTTGAATTTACCATGTTTTAGTAGTAGAGCAGGTGTTTTTTAAATTGTAAAGAACTTTCCAAGTCAGGTGCAATGGCACACACCTATAATCCCAGCAGCTTGGGAGGCTGAGGCAGGAGGATCTTGAGTTCAGAGACAGTCTCAGCAAAGGCGAGGAGCTAAGCAACTCAGACCCTGTCTCTAAATAAAATACAAAATAAGGGTTGGGGGACCACGGTTGTGATCAGTGGTAGAGCGCTTGCCTAGCATGAGTGAGGCACTGGTTCGATCCTTAGCACTACATAAAAATAAATAAATAAAAATAAAGTCATTGTGTCAACCTACAAGTAAAAAAATTAAAAGAAAAAAAATAGGGTTGGGGATGTGGCTCAGTGGTCGAGTGCCCCTGAGTTCAATCCTACAGTAGGGCTTGATGTGTTAAGCCTGGCTTTAACTTTTGCTTGAAGGATTAGGTGTCATATTTATCTAATGGTCATGACCTAGGATTTGTCCTTTAAATGTTAGATAAGGAATAAAAAGTCAATTTTTTGAGGTAGTAGGAAGTAGTATTTGGAAAGAGATCAAAAATCATATGAGGGTGTAGCTTAATGGTGGAACACTTGCCCTGCATGCTGGAGGCCCTGGGGTTGATCCCTAGTACCACCCAAAAGTGAGGATTTGCTTCTGGAGAGAGAACACCATAAACCAAACCTCTAAATATGGTAATTGTCATGTAAATTGTGTTCTGATTTTTTTTGTTTGTGTGTGTGAGATGGTGCTGGGGATTGAACCCAGGGCCTTGTGCATAGGAGGCAAGCACTCTATCAACTGAGCTATATCGCCAACCCCTCTTGATTTTTTTTTTTTTTTTTTTTGTGAGATTAAAAATAAAGTTGATCTTGGGCTGGGGCTCAGCAGCAGAGTGCTTGCCTAGCACATGCAAGGCCCTGGGTTCGATCCTTAGCACCACATAAAAATAAATAAGTTGTGTTCGACTACAGTTAAAAAATAAATATATATATATATATATATAAAAGTTGATCTTTAATATACTCTAAAGTAGATGCTAAATTCCAAAAGACAAGGGTCTTTTGAAAAAAAAATACTTGGTGTCCCTGAGATTGATAGGAGAAATATTAAAAAGATTTATGTGTATAGGGTGTGTGTGTGTGTGTGTGTGTGTGTGTGTGTGTGTATGTGTGTGTTGTGTGAACATATGCACATCATTTTAAGATTTTTTTTTTTCCCTTTCTAGGAACCATTGGTTTTGACTATAATTTTATCACTGTTTGTGAAACTTCACAATGTTCGGGTCAGTATTATTTATTTATTTATATGTTTATTTTTGGCGGTGCTGTTCCAAAGCCTTGTGCATTCCCAGCAAGCACTCTATCAACTGAGCTATATTGCCAGTCCTCCAGGGTTAGTATTTTGTAATTTCATGTTTAAAAGTTTTTGAAAGACATTTCTTTTTAAATCATACTTTTTGGGACTGGGATTGTGGTTCAGTGGTAGAGTGCTTTTGCATAAAGCACTGGGTTTGATCTTAAGCACTATAGGAAAAAAAAAAACAAAGGTATTATACATCTACAACTAAAAAAAAAAAAATAACCCCCCCCTTTTTTTTTTTTTTAAAGGAAGACATAGTGAATGATATCACAGCTGAACACATTTCTATTTGGCCGTCCTCCATTCCCAAGTAAGTAATCATTCTGCTTATGATAGATTAAATTAAATTACTTATATGTTTAATGTATATATTGTACATCATACGTATAATATGTATATTTAGTGTATATATTGTACATTAAATTAGTTTAGAAGTCATCCTGAGTTTTATGGATATCCTTAGGTAATTTAATTGAAAGGTACCACTCTGTTAGGATTCTACATACAACTTTGTGTTTCTCTATTATAGTAATTGTCTTTCTAAAAATAGGTAGAAGGCCCTAGATAGAACATCTAAGAAGTTCTGATTTTCAGTGAATAGAATTGGAAAGTCATCTATCCATTTGAAAATCATGTGTTTCATAATTCCTTATAGATCTCTTCTAATACTATGATTATCAAAGGCTTCCAGTCCCTTCAATTGCTATAGGAATTTCTTTAATTACTTTATGAAATCTGTCTTTTATCACCTGAGAATCTCAATAAAATTATGAGATAATTTTTTAGAAGAGAAAATAATTTTCATTTCTCTGAAAGAGTAAGCTTTACATTTTTTTCTTCCTATATGTAGCAACTTTTCATACAGAAGAGTTCATTTGTTTCCTGTCAAAACTTTCTTTCCTTCTCTACCATCCCTCTCAGTTGGCTTACTTTGTACTTGAAGGGTAGGTCCCTCCAGCCTCATTTGATTGCTCTTAATGGCATCTTTGAAGAAAAAAAAATTTTTTTTAATATGTAGGTAAGCAGGCAGTATAGTGAACATAAATAATTTGCTTTCATCTCAATCTTAGAGTTTGGAAGCAGCTCTAAATCTCATATTGGGATTTAGAGAGTCAGAGTGGGTGAATGTCCGTGCCCTTGACTTAATAAGGGTTCTTTTCCCCCCAAAGGATACCATGCTTCATGAAGCAAATGTGCATGCTCTGTAGCATTCTTGCTGCAAATTCTATCATCGTATCTTTCTAATTTTTGTGTAAGAATCAATGTGTTAGATAGCAGTTCAAGAATCAAGTAAAGAGAATTTTGTTTGATATGGGGGTGGGGTACTGGAGATTGAACCCAGGGCCTCACACACACTAGACAAGTACTCTATCACTGAACAACAGCCCTTAGTTGTGCCTTTTTTTTTTTTTTAATAGTACTGAGAATTGAAGCCAGGGAAATTTTACCTCTGGGCTATACCCCTGGTCCTTTTTATCTTTTATTTTGAAACTGGGTCTCACCAAATTGCTGAGACTGACCTTGAACTTGTGATCCTCTGCCTCAGCTTCTGAATCCTTGGGATGACATATATGCGCCACCATGCCCAGCTGAGAGTCTCTATTGGTTCCAAAAATAGCATTCCAAGAATAATGAGAATGGCATAGGATTAAGTATTAACTATTTTAAAACTAACTGCTGTGTAAATAGAATTCTTAGACTTAACATTTTGTAGATATCTGTAAAATATAATCATAAACTAATCTAACTTATTGTCAGTAAATAGGGATTTGCTGCTAATGCCATATTTTCCCCCCCTATTGGACAGTGGTATTATGGTAAAGTCAAACACTTACGGGCAACAGAAGTACTTTGTCCAAATTTACCTTATATATGATAGAACCGTGACTTGAACCTTTTGTGTGTCTGAATCACTTTTTTTTTTCCCCTACCACTGAGCCTTACTGCTTCTAGGAGGGAGGAGCCCTCAGCCATGTTTCTGACTTTTATCCTCACTATTCCGTCTTCTGGTTCTGTATTTCCAGATCTCCCCTCTTACCCAGGTTCAAAGTGGCTGACCTATTTCCTACCCTTTTCTTGACTCTTGCTACTACCAAAAGTACCTAAGTGTTATACTTATCACAAAATAGTTTTTCACCCCATTAGGAGCAGTATAACATCTAATCCAGGAATCATTCTCTCACAAGAAGCCATAGGTAGATTTAAGGTTACATGGCAGTACTAGTGTTTGTTTCTTCTAGAAGAAGCCCTAGTTTTTTGTGGCTTCTTCTAGATACTAGAACTTAAAAAGTATTTGGGGAAATTTTATGAGCCTCTCTCTTTTGTTGACTATAAATTATCCTCTAATAGGTAAAGGTAAGGGTTTATCACATTTATGGCCATAGAACTTTAGGCTTTGACTTTTTGTTTTTAGTAGGATATGGTTTTTGAGGTTGACTTTTAAAATAAAGATTAATGTTAAGTATCTTTCCTTTAGCCTTCAGTCTGTGGACTTTGAAGCTGTAGCAATCACAGTGAAAGAACTAGTTCGATATACACTCAGTATAAATCCAAACAACCATTCCTGGTTAATTATTCAGGCAGACATTTATTTTGGTAAGTAAAATGTTTGGTTGCCTATTTTGCTTTGGTAACACTATTAGAAGTAAATGTAAATATATTACACAGTTTATTACAGTATTTATTAAACTCTCTAGGTACTCTTGCTATTATTTGTATTCTTGGAGATAGATTCCCCTCCCCTTGATTATATTGATTATATGCTAAAATTGATTATATTGATTATATGCTAAAATTTTCCAAGTTGATATGAAGTTTTTAGTATTTCTTTTATTGTATAGATTGAATGAAAATTCAGACTGGTATCATTTCAGGATCTTTTTTCTAGAAGTCGATTTTTTAAAAGAGAAAATTCAAAATTTGAAGGTGGAAGGATAGTATAATGAACTCCATTCAGCTTTCATAATTTACTCATGGTCAGTCCTGTTTCTTCTGTACCCTTATCTAGATCTTTCCACTCTTCTCCAAATTATTCTAAAGTAAATAATTGCTAACTTTAAAAAAATTATTTATTTTTAGTTGTTGAAGGACCTTGATTTTTTTTATTTATATACAGTGCTGAGTCAAACCCAGTGCCTCACACATTCAAGGCAAGTGGCGCTTTACCACTGAGCCACAACATCAGCCCTAATTGCTGATTTTTAATGTTCATTTTCACCCCAGCCCGCAAAGAGTTTAATCACCAAGACCTTAAATGTTTATTTGCAGAATAAATATATTGATTGTGGGGTCTGCAGTTGTGGCTCAATGGTAGAGTGCTTGCCTAGCATGCATGAGGCAAACTGGATTTGATCCTTCGCACCACATAAAAATAAGGATACTGTGTCCACCTAGAGCTAAAAAATGAATATATATATATAAAATTCTGAACTACCTCAAAAAATTAGGATATGTTTTTTTAGTTTGAATATTTAGGAAATAAATACCTCCAGATACTGAATTCTGTACTAGTAAACTTGGTGAGAAATTGGAAGTAAATTTTTGGTTTATCGGTTTTAGGAGGCAGAGAATCTACTGAATCACTTTTGTTTTGAGTGGTGATGATACTAGAGATTGAACCTAGGTACTCACACATGCTGTACGAGTGTTCTACCACTGAGTTACATCCTTAGCTCTGTGTTTTTTGGGGTACCAAGGATTGAATCCAAGGATGCTTAACTATGCAGCCACATTCCTAGCCTTTTTTAAATTTAGAGACAGAGTCTAAGGTGCCTAGGGTCTTGCTAAGTTTCTAAGGCTGGCTTTAAATTTTCGATCCTCTTGCCTCAGCCTCCCAAACTGCTGGGGTTATGTGTGTGCATCACCACACCCAGCTATTAATATAATTGATTTTTTTAAATGTGGCTAAAAAAAAGGTTTTCTTGTTATTTTCCTGAATAAGTACAAAATTTTATCCCCAGATCTATCTTTTGAATCTGCTTTTGTTAACTAATGACTCTTCACAAAAGAGACCATTTTTTTTCCCCAATCCTATATCTAATGACAAGTAATTCTTTATCTCTGTTTACTTCTTCAGCAACAAATCAGTATTCGGCAGCTCTTCATTATTACCTTCAGGCAGGAGCTGTGTGTTCTGATTTCTTTAATAAGGCTGTGCCTCCCGATGTTTACACAGACCAGGTAAGTTATTTTGTGTGCTTCCTTTCTTCTTACCTACCTTTACATAGTTTTCTTCCTGGCCTCTTTTTGACTAAATTTAGCCATTTTCATGTACGTGATGGTGAACTCCCAAATTGATGGGTCCAGGCCAGATTGCTATTTTTTTTTTTAAATTTTTAAATTTAAAAAAAAATTTTTTTTTGCTGTCAATGTTTTCAGTGCCCATATTTCCAGTGCCTATTGGTGTTTTGATTTTCCCCAAACACCTCAAATTTAAATCTATCTACAATTTGGTTGCATTTCTTACTTTACCAGGCTCCTCTCCTAATAAATTCACCTGTCCTTCAAACAAACAAAGAAAAAAACCTCTCCAGAATACCAAATACTTTTATTTAAACTTTTGAGACAACTAAGCTCAAATCCTTAGCATTGTCCTTGGCTTTTTTCCTTACTTTCCTTTTACTGATTCTGCCACCAATATCCATTCAGCTTTCAAATCATATTGATTCTCTCCCCTAAATCCCCAATTCTTTCCCTTTTGTGTGTGCTTAAGTCATACAACACGAAATACAGATATATTAGTCAAATCCATTATCTTCCATAGTTATTCCTCCCTATTTGTGCTAAGAGCATCTAAAATCTATTGTATTAGCAGATTTTTAACTATATATTATTATTTTTGTGTGAGTGGTGCTAGGGAGCAAACCCAGGCTTGCATGAGCTAGGTATGTGCTCTACCACTGAGATACATCCCTCCCCCACCAAATGCTATTATATGCCTTATACAGAATATTAGATCTCTAGACTTATTCAGATTGCAAATTTGTGCTGTATTTCTTCCTGTTCCTTGATTCTGTTATCAAATTTTGTTCCTTTTCTTTTAATATGTATTGCTGCTTTTTCTGATTTGGCCATTAGTATACTTGACAAATGTGTTTTTCAGTATTCAGATAGTTTTTGAAATGATTTAGCATTTTTATTAATTTTTGGGTTTTTTTATAGCACTTTTATATTATCAACAAAATTGAGTAGAAATTGTAGAGTTCCAATATACCTTCTATCTTCTCCACTTGTACAACTTGTCCTCTGTTGACCTCATACCAAAATGGTGCATTTATTATAGTCTGTTATTAATAGTTTTTTAAAGTAATCAGTTTTGATTTTTATAGGTGATAAAACGAATGATCAAGTGTTGTTCTTTGCTGAATTGCCACACACAGGTTAGTTTATAATATGGCATTGGCTTATTTTCATATATATTAGTGTTTATGATAAGTATAAAGCATTGCATTGGGAAGCAGCTTTTTTAAAAATTTCTTTTTAGGGAAGCAGCTTTTATTATATCAGAGTTACTTAATTTTATGGTGTTAGAAATTTTGCATAATTACATTTTTTTAGTTTATAGAATTTTAACTAAAAGTATGAAATAAGAAAATGTTGACTTTTGAAATCTTGTGAATAGAAAGAGAGCATTCTCAAGTATATATTCTTATATTTAAGATTAGATTCATTAGCCATTAGGGAAATGCAATTAAAACCACAATAATAAAATACCACTTCCCACCCACTAGGATGACTGTAATCAAGATATTTGACAATAGCTGTTGGTAAGGTTGTAGAGAAATTAGATTCCTCATGCTGGTAGAAATATAAAGTGGCACAGCCTCTGCAAAAGAGTTTGGCAGTTCCTCAGAATGTTAAATATAGAAGTTGGGTGAGGTAGTGTATGTCTGTAATCCCAGTGACTTGGGGGGCTAAGCCAGGAAGATTGCAAGTTCAAAGCCAGCCTCAGTAACTCAGCAAGAACCTGTCTTGAGGATTAATATTAGAATATATAAAGAACTTAGGTTGGGGATGTGGCTCAGTGGTTAAGTGCCCTGGGGTTGAATTCCTGGTACTACCCCCCCCCAAAAAAAAGAGAATTTGTAAAGAACTCAAAAATTTTACACCAAAAAAATCAAGTAACCCAATTAATAAATGAGTAAATGAATTAAATCCACACTTCTCAAAAGAAGAAATACAAATGGCCAACAAATGTGTATAAATGTTCAAAATCATTAGCAATTAAGGAAATGCAAATCAAAACTAATACTCAACACCAGTCAGAATGGCAGTCATCAAGAACATAATAATAAATACTGGAGAGGATATGGAGAAAAAGGATCACTTTTACACTGTTGGTGGGATTGTAAATTAGTACAACCACTATGGAAATCAGTATGGAGATTCCTCAAAAGACTAGGCCTGGCACTACCATTTAACTAAGCTATACTACTCCTAGGTATTTATCCTAAATTAAAGCTGTCATAATACAGTGATACTAGCAAACACATGTTTATAGTAGCTCACTTCATGATAGCCAAACTGTGGTACCAGCCTAGGTGTCCATCAACAGACGAATGGATAAAGAAAATGTGGCATATATACAATGGAGTTTTATTCATCCATAAAGAAAAATGAAATTGTCATTTGCAGGAAAATGGATGGAACTAGAGAACATTACATTAAACAAAATAAGTGAAACTCAGAACGTCAAGGGACTATGTTTTTCTTTCATGTGGAATCTAGAGAGGAAAAAGGAAAAGAGGTGGGGTGGATCTCATGGAAATCAAAGGGAGATCAGTAGAGGAAAGGGACCAAGGGGTCAAGGGGGAGAATTGCTTAGAAGTGACATTGGCTTAATTGTTATATTATGTGCATGTAGACATATGTAACAACAAATCCCATTATATGTACAACTATATTGCACCAATAAAAGTGGAGGAAAAAAACCTGTCTCCAAAAAGAAAAAAGGGCTGTGTTTGTAGCTTGGTGGTAGAGCCACTCCTGTGTTCAGCCTTCAGTACAAAAAAAAAAAAAAAAGACATAGAAATGATCACATGACTTTAACACTTGCATTTCTATGTGAATATCTAACAGAATTGAAAACATATGGACTGGGGATGTGGCTCAAGCGGTAGCGTGCTCCCCTGGCATGCGTGAGGCCCGGGTTCGATCCTCAGCACCACATACCAACAAAGATGATGTGTCCGCTGAAAACTAAAAAAGTAAAATAAAAAATAAAATATTAAAAAAAAAAAGAAAACATAAATCCACAGAAAAAGTTGTTTATATGAATGTTCATAATAGCAGTATTTATAGTAGCCAAAAAGTAGAAAAAACCCACAGTGTCCATCAAACAATGAATGGTTTAATAAAATGTGGCATATGATGAAATACTATTCAGCCTATGTATGGCTACATCTTAAAACATGGAGGATTCTTGAAGACTATGCTAAGTGAAAGATACAAAATGCCACATACTGTATGATTGCATTTATATAAAATATCCAGAACAATTTTTTTTTCTTGTACTAGAGATTGAACCCAAGCTACATCCTTAGCCCTTTTAATTTTTCATTTTTGAGACAGTGTCTGGCTAAGTTGCCCAGGCTGGCCTCAAACTTGGCAATCCTTCTTATGCTCCTTACCTGGCAGAATGGGAAGATCTTTAGAGACAGAACATAGATAAAAGATTATCAGAGTCTTGAGGGATGAGAAAATGGAGTTACTGCTCATGAGTGAGGAGTTTTTTTTGGGGGTGGTGGTAATGAAAATATTTTAGAATTAAATAGATAATGGTTGTACAGTTTTATAAATATACTAAGAACTATTGAATTGTCCTTTTAGAGGGTTATTTTTGTGGTATGTGAATAATATCAGAAAAAACTTTTTTTTTTTTTTTTGAGATGAACATTATGACATATATACCTGATTGAAATGGATGCTTTTTATGTTAAGCAGACTGGCTGTGAAAGGCTTAATTTTGTGTTCTTCATGTCCTTGAATGTCATGACACTTTGACTTAGTAGTTTTCTATCCCCTACGGTTCAGTTTTCTGAACTGGCTTTTTGCCAACTTATTGAAATAGTTATTAGAATTTTGTGAGCTAGGTCACTGATGAAAAAAATGTTTGATAAGACAGACACTTGGGTAAAGGTTTTTGAAATTAAAATGAGATAGAATTAATAAATATGAACTGACCTATTTGGTGTGATCTGCAAGGCTTCTTAAAGAATACGTTCTTCATATAAAAATAATTAAAGATTATCCTCCAAATCCAGGAGTGTCATTGTTAAATGAAACCATTTTCAAATCTTTGTAGGTAGCAATTTTATGTCAGTTCCTCAGAGAAATTGACTACAAGACAGCCTTTAAGTCACTACAGGAACAAAACAGGTATGAATGATTTTTTTAAATAATAGAAGTTGAAGTTTTTCTGCTTAAGGAAAAAATAATAGTAACTGAATTCTATTTTTTAGTCATGATGCTATGGACTCCTACTATGACTATATTTGGGACGTTACCATCTTGGAATACTTGACCTGTATCCTTCCTTCTACATATTTGATATTAGAAGCCAACTTCTATGGATTGGATTTTCATTTTCTGTATTTTCTAAATAAACTGAAAACCAGATGAGATTCTATGATATTTAATACTATACTATCAGATTTATTATTCTTAACTGATTCACGTAGATCTTCATCATAAGAGAGGAGAAACAGATAAAAGACAAATTGCGGTAAGTTACCTTATGCTTTTCTTCAATGATGTACTTAATTTTCAGAATATTAAATAATTAACATTTATACCACCAACAACAAAAACTTTAGTGTGCCCAATCACTGCCAGAATTTGGTTATCAGTGTTTACTTTTTAAAAGATCTGTCTTTGATATTTTGAGCTATTCCATCTCAGTTTCTTTTTTCTTTTTTTTATTTGGGGGAGTGTGGTATGGAGGATGGAACTAGGGGCACTCAACCATTTGAGTTACATATCCAGCCTTATTTTGTACTTTATTTAGAGACAGGCTGACACTTGAGTTGCTTAGGGTCTTACTTGCTGAGGCTGGCTTTGAACTCATGATCCTCCTGCCTCAGCCTCCTGAGCCACTGGGTTTATAGGCGTATGCCACTGCGCCTGACCTGTTTCTTTTAAAATGTTAGATCATATTATTTCTGTTGGAAATCTTCAAATGGCTTCTCCTATCACACAAAGTCCTTTAGATGGCCTAAAAGGCCACATATAACGTGACCTTCTGCTTACTTAGCTGACTTCCCCCCTTCCTAATTTCTGCCACAGATAACTCTACTGTTCTTTGAACACTGATTCCCTAAAGATCTTTGGAATTTTCTCTTCTAGGAACTGTTAACTTCCCTTATGCCTATCCTTAATTGTCACCTTCTTAGTAGTCATTCTTTACTAATCATCTTATACCATGTCCCTCTTTTTCCCTCTAATTACTTTTATTTTCATTCCCCTCAAGTGTTTCTCTGTAACACTTACCAGTATTTGACATACTATATATTATTGTCTCTTTCCCCATGAGGATAAGGACTTGGTTTGCACATAGTAGAAAACTAGAATGATACGGCACACAGTAGCTACCCAGTGATTGGTTGGTTTAGATTTTTTTGTCTGTGATAGGAATTGAATCAAGAGGTACTCAGCCACTGAGCTACATATCCCTAGTTCTTATTTATTATTTATTTTGAGACTGAGTCCCACTAAGTTGTCAAGTAGGCCTCAAACTTGGGTTCTTCCTGCCTCCTGAGTAACTGGGACTATGGAGGTACACAGTATACCCAGCATCCAGTGGTTTTTGACTAGATGAATTATTTATTTAAATTTCGCTATGTGCCAAAATATTTTAAATTTAATGCTTTATATTATAACTTGATTGCTGAATCAGTATCACCACAGATAATTTTCTTTGCTCTGACTCATATTAATAAAACTAACTAAGCTATTAGTGTCTTTTAAAGCTTTGTACTTGAACAAAATTGAAACAAAATTGAAACAAAATTGAAAAATTAAAGCTTTGTACTTGAACAAAATTGAAACAAACTGATGATAACATTAAAAATGCCCCCTAGTTTGGGGGCCACTCATGCTGCCATTTCCAGTTTACCTGGGGCTAGAAGACAATATTGAAATGTCCTTAGCTCTCCCTTATTTCCAAGCCATTTCTACTTTTTTTATGTACTGATGATTGAACCCCCTTAGCTCTCCCTTATTTCCAAGCCATTTCTACTTTTTTTATGTACTGATGATTGAACCCAGCAGTGTTTTACCACTGAGCGAGCTACAGCCCCAGTCCTTTTAACTCTCCCTAGGTTTACAGGTTTTTGCCAGCCTCAGTTATATTTATTATCACCTTAACTGTTTGCCAGCCACTCAAACCCATAGCTTGTCTTACTGTTAGCCAAAGTTGTTGTATGTGAGGTTTTATACTGAAATCCACTCTGCCTTTATGTCTCTTTTGCTCCTTCCTGAGACGTTCAGGTGTGTGACTAGTTTTTCCTCCACTTTGTTAGCTCTTTGTCTTACCTTCCTTCCCTACTTATCCTCAATACAGCAAATACCAGTCAGTGTTCTCTCAGAGATCCTGATGTAGGCAGTTTGAGGTGGGGCTTGGGAATATAATTTTTAAGTTTCCAGGTAATCTGATGATAAACCAGGTTTGGGAACCCAGCTAACCATTATTGACAGTCAGAACTATTCTTTGGTCATGTTTTTTTTTTTTTTTTAAACCAGAGATTGAACTTGAGGGCACTCAACCACTGAACCACATTCCCCACCCCTATTTTGTATTTTATTTAGAGACAGGGTCTCACTAAGTTGCTAACCACCTCGCCATTGCTGAGGCTGGCTTTGAACTTACCATCCTCCAACTTAGCCTCCCGAGCCTCTAGGATTACAGGCATGCAACCTGCACCCGGTTGATCATGGTTTTTATTAGCTTTAGTACCTCTTCTGGAGAAGTCCTGATCTAAATCTTGGTGGAAGTTTGAGTCCTACAACCATGCCACTACCAAACCATAGTCTCCAGCACTGTCTCCTTAGCTCTTTTTTTTTCTTTTTTAGAATTTATTTATTTATTTTAGTTCTCGGCGGACACAACATCTTTGTATGTGGTGCTGAGGATCGAACCCGTGCCGCACGCATGCCAGGCAAGCGCGCTACCGCTTGAGCCACATCCCCAGCCCCTCCTTAGCTCTTTTAAGTAGTTTACATTCTTTTCAGGACATTCTTTTCAGGAACTGTTTTAGACTTTTCCCATTAAGCCCCTATCCTCTCTACCTTTCCATGCTCAGTAATTTCCTTGGCTCTTATTTGCTTGGGAATAGGCTGGGAAAAAGACCAACTAGACTTCTTCTCATGGAGGTTATAGTTTCTCCACCTTTAAAATAATCTACAACTGGGGCTGGGATGTGGCTCAAGCCGTAGGTAGCACGCTCACCTGGCATGCGTGCGGCCCGGGTTCGATCCTCAGCACCACATACAAACAAAGATGTTGTGTCCACCAATAACTAAAAAATAAATATTAAGATTCTCTCTATCTCTCAAAAAAAAAAATAATCTACAACTACACTCATCTTTAAGTCCACTCTTCAGTTAGTAGGAGGCCATATTATTCTTTGTTGAAGGCAGATACTTAATGCTTTTAATTCTGTCCCCTTTTAATCATCATTTTTTCCTGGATTGTTAACCTTTTCCATGGTCTATAAACTATTTCATCCTTAATAAATACCTTTCTTGACCCTGCCTCTACCTGGAGCCACATTTCATCCTTCTCTAGTTTTTTGATGCTCTTTAGCTCAGTACAGTTTGACTTTTGCCATCATCACAACTCTTAAAAGTGTTCTTAAGAGTTACCAAATGCAAATGCCAGTCTAAACTTTCTAATCCCTTTCCTACTGTTTGTTTTCTTCCTTCTTGAAATGCTTTATTCCTTTGACATCTCTGACAACTTTTTTATTCAGTTCTTTTTCCTCCTCTTTCTTGTGGACATTTCCTCTCTACTTGTAAATCTTAGTTTTCCCAAGATGTTAGTCTTTGGGTTATTTTCTAATCATCCTTTGTTCTTCCTAGTTAACCCTATCCACTCATGGTATGACTACCACTCACATGAATTGTATTATTTCTCTCAGATATCAGACTTCTATTTCAGCTTCTTATACTTTGGACTTTATAACCAATTATCTTTTGGATATTTTGTTTATTTGAAATTACTTTTTAGTTATATCCCACTACAGTGCCTTTTTTTTTTTTTTTTTTTTTTGATACCAGGGATTGAACCCACTGGGGGCTTAACCATGTCCCCAGTCCTTTTTTTAAATTTTCAGACAGGGTCTTGCTAAGTTGCTGAGACTGGCTTTGAACTTGTGATCCTTCTGCCTCAGTCTTCTGAGTTACTGGGATTACCAGCAATCATCACTTTCCCCAGTCCACTAGCAGCTTTTGCAGCACGTCTTCTTTCATATTGAAGTGACATTATCCAGCAATTTCTTTCTTCTTTTTTTCTTGGAATTGAACGCAAGGGCACTCAACCACTGAGCCATATCCCCAGCCTTATTTTGTATCTTATTTAGAGACAGGGACTCACTGAGTTGCTTAGTGCCTCACCATTGCTGAGGCTGGCTTTGAACTCGGGATCCTCAAGTCTCAGCCTCCTGGGCTGCTGGAATTATAAGCGTGTGCCACTGCACCCAGCTTCATCCAGCAATTTCTGTTCCCTAACCTCTCTTACCTACCTGATGATCATTTCTAAATATTCATAGCTCCTTTCAAGCCACCTATGAGAATTCTTATTATTAGTTTTTGTTTTGTTATTTTAAAATGCAAAAGGTAGGCTTTAAGGTCCAAAAATGTTCTCACTAAATACTCCATAGCAGTAGCATAGCACTCTATGGATATTTAATAGGTTGAAATAGTTCTTTTTAACAGGGAAGTTAAGTCACAGTAGACTTTTATAGTGCTAAGTAACTTGCTATTTTTGCATATTAAAAATGTAAAGCCCTAAAACATGACTTGTGAGTTTCCCAACTATTTTTAGCCCTTTTTTTCTGAGCTATTTATTTTTATTAGAGCTTTATAATTATACATAATAGTTGGATTCATCCCGACAAACTCATACATGCATGGAAATGGGTTTCAGTTCCATGATCCTCCACTTTTCTGTCTTCCATCCCCTCTCCCATTCTCCTATTAGACTTCCTTGTGTTTGTCTACTAATTTCTATTTGGTTCTTTATGTGATCTTATTCTTCCTTCCCCCTTTCCTTTATTTTACTCTAGCTTCCGTATGAGAGGAAACCATTCTACCTTTGAGTTTTGCTTATTTCATTTAGCATGATAGTCCTCATTTCCATCCATTTTCCAGAAAATGCCACGATTTCATTCTTTATGTATGAAGTAGAACTCCATTGTCTATATACACACCACAATGTCTTAATCCATTCATCTATTGACCAGCACCTGAGTTGATTCCATAGTTTAGCTGTTGTGCTGCTAATAACGTTGACGTGGTTGTATTACTGTAGAATGCCGATTTTAGATCTTTTGGGAAAATACCAAGGAGTGCGATAGCTGGGTCATATGGTAGTTCCATTTCTAGGTTTTTGAGGAATCTCCATATTGCTTTCCAGAGTAGTTGTATTAGTGTGCAGTCCCACCAACTATGTGACAAGTGTACCTTTTTTAGGAGTCTTAACTATAAATTAAGGTAATCTGATATCAAAATATTGAAGAGAGTTTACATAACCAAACCTGGATTTATGTAATGTAATAAAATGCAACTCAAGATAATTTTATAAACTATGGTGCAACAATCTTTTTCTTTTTGGTACCAGGAACTGAACTCAGGGGCATTCAACCACTGAGTCACATCCCCAATCCTTTTTTTGTATTTTATTTAGAGACAGGGTCTCACTGAGTTGAGTTGCTCAGTGCCTTACAGTTGCTGAGGCTGGCTTTGAACTCAGAATCCTCCTGCCTTAGCCTTCTGAGCTGCTGGGATTACAGGCATCACCACTGGATCTGGCAATCTTTTTTTTTTTAAGAGAGTGAGACGAGAGAGAGAATTTTTAATATTTATTTTTTTTAGTTTTCAGCGGACACAACATCTTTTTTTGTATGTGGTGCTGAGGATCGAACCCGGGCCGCACGCATACCACGCGAGCGCGCTATCGCTTGAGCCACATCCCCAGCCCGGCAATCTTTTTCTTAAAGAGTGGCTCAAAACAATCATGTTAACTTTTTCCCACAGCTCCTGAGTTTTACAATTAGATTCATTTAGAGATTCAATTAATCATTAAGCTAATTTCATTACTGTTTATATCTAAGTAATTATATATTAGCTAATATGTAAATATTAGCAAGACTTAATATTGACCAGACCTTTAATAATACCATTTTTCTGTTTTGAGAAGATCAAAGCCATTGGCCAGACAGAATTGAATGCAAGCAACCCAGAAGAAGTGTTACAACTGGCAGCACAGAGAAGGAAGAAAAAGTTTCTCCAAGCAATGGCAAAACTTTACTTTTAAGCAGTCAAAGTTTTTTAAACTTTTATTTTTTAAACAATGGGCTAAAAATAAACAGTATTAAAAGATTAAGTTTATATAATACATATGTACACATTTAGTGGTGTTTTCTTTTCAGACAATACAGAAACAAATAGTTTAAAACTATACAAAAGACTTCATACTATAATAGTAACTTTAATTTACAGTTTCTTCAAAGGGAGAAGAGATTCACATTAGGATAATGCTTTAGTAATTAAATCGACTTTTTGAGGCAAAAGCTAATTTAAGGTAAGTAGTAGCTAGTCTATATACAGCAAGTTCTTATGTCTTTTTAATAAATAGACTTGTGGTATACATTTAATATTTTTCTGCCTTAAGAAAATAAGTGTTAATCTTTATCATTTTGACGCTGTCCTTATCTCATAATGTAGGAATTTAAATTGGACCTTAACAGTTTTATAAACATAAATAAAGCCTTAGTCACACTAAATTAAAAAAAAAAAAAAAGCCTTAGGGGGATATCTTAGAGTAATAAAGTGACTTTCTCATATAAATAGTTTGAAAAGGTACTTAAGACTTCACCCAAATTGTGATATACAGAAAGGTCATTATAAAGCGACCTATATATCAAGATAAAGCTCCAAGTAGGAGCCACAGCATTTACCTTATTTTTAATTTCTTTGGTACTCCCACTGTTTAGAGCAGTTTAAAACATCCTATTCATTGAAGCCTTATTGGTTAAAGAATATGATGGCAAGGCAATTAAGAAAGTTAAAAAATACATTAAATCTCACCATTTGTAAAAATTCAAGTTTTATAATAGTTTGCTACCACAGGTTTAGATAAATTAGTCACCTTATTACAAAACTAAGTCTTGGTAAACAAGTTTAAATTTTATTTTCAAGAACCAAATTGCACTAGTTAAGAGTATAGGAATTTGAGAATCTAAAGCTAGATTCAGAATATATCAATGTACCCTTTACGGTAGCACCTATCTAGTCCAAAACTGCAATGATAAAATTCCTTGTTTATCAAAATAAACATAGTAACACTGGATCTAAAAATAATTGTGGCTGGCTTCTCTCCAGTAGACTTGTGAATGAAGTCATCTTTGTAAACATGTTCAGCCTTCTTTAATGGCTAGTATAGGAAGTGAATATCTTCTTTAGTGCCAATTTCAAGTGGTTTTTCAAAGAATGGTTGTGTCACTTCTGAATTGCCAAGGATAATCACAGCACTATTTTCCTGTAAAAACTTTAGTTCAGTTGTATGAAATTCTAGCAATACTTGCTCAGTTTCAATTTGTTTGTCAAGTAACTCCTTTAGTGTTTTCCTGGTGGTTTTTCAGTGCTCTTCGGAGGTGTCATAATGCCCCCATTGCACACTGGTGACAGCTGTCCCCCTTTTCTAAAGGTGTTTACATAATTTACTTCATCCTATACATGAAAAGAAATTATATAGTGATTAACAGCTAAGATAAAGCATTGATATAGTAAAACAGTCTAACCAGATTTCTAGTATCTTTTTGAGATTATTCTGACCAAATGCAATGGTCCTTTTATGTCTTTCAACTGTGAATTCATTCTGAAGGTTCAGTAGTTTGAACTGTACTGTGTGTATATGTGAATCTTAAACTCTTGACTAAAAAAAAAATGTTCTTGGGTACTAGGGATTTAACTTAGTTTATCATTGAGGTATATCCAAGCCCTTTTTCATTTTTTTATTTTGAGATAGGGTATGCTAAGTTGCTAAGGCTGGCCTTGAATTTCTGCTGCTGCTTCTGAGCTGATGGGATTGCAGGCATGCACCACTGTGCCTGGCTAAAATAATTTTATTAACTTCTCTACACTCTGAAAACATGGGGCCCATTACTTTCTCTTTATAACCGCTGAAGTTGCATTCCATAGTATGCTGTCAGTTTCAAGGCTTACTAGATAGCAAAATCAAAACAAAAAACCCACAAGACATACCAGCATAGCCAAATAATTTGTATGTGTCTGGATATTATGTCTGTCTTCCATAGGTATCTTCTTAAAAGTCTTTAGCTTCACTGGACTAGTACTTTTTACTACACTGACAAAAGGCACCATCCAGTCTACGCATTCTGAGATGATGTCCCATTCCAAACCTAGATTGAAAAAGTTGGAAAATTCAAGGCTGTACATCATAAAATTTCTTATATATACCTAAAGTAGTTATTTAAAAAGTCATTTTAAAACAAAATCAGTAGGTCAAAACAGATTATCATGCTCAGACTATTTTTTAATAATATAACTAATCTTAAAGGGACTTCAGATCAATTTTAACCAGTGTCTTCTACATATGAATTTGTAAATTTTTTTAAATTATTTTTTTAAATAGTTTTTAGTTATACATGGACACAATATCTTTATTTTTTTAATGTGGTGCTAAGGATTGAACCCAGTGCCTCACATATGAGAGGCAAGTGCTCTGCCACTGAACCACCACAACCCCAGCCCTGGATTTGAAACTCTTAAATTCCAAAGAACTCAAAAAGCCAAACTATAATTGTGTTGATTCATTTCAAATGGACTTAAATTTTATTTTGCCTTTGTGAGTTGTGGAGACTCAGTATTATAATGTATTTCTAAGAGAGAGATAATCACTAAACTGCTAACTTTGACAGAAGTTGTGAACAGGTAAGAAGAAAAAAATTGTGTCTTACCTGAGGCTTTCTTAACCACTTCAATGGAGGTAAAATGGCACAAGGCAGCAGCTGCCAGTATTCTGTACTGGAACTCTAAGGAGTCAATGGCTAAAATACACAGATCTAAAAGCTAACAAATGAAAAAAGTATAAGTAATTTAGGAGAAGGATGAGTACTACATGTTACTACTAAAATCAGCTAACATTTTTTAGGGTATATTGGACCATATGCCAAGAATTGTTAAATTGCTTAAGGATTAAAAATAATAATAATAATAAGTTACCATCCTGAAGGAAGTCAGGTTTTGGGGTAGTAGGTCAGGGAGTAACTACTAGAGTAGGAAAGGACTGTTGTGCTGCAGTATGATGGGAGAAAGGGCATTTAATCCAGATTGGAAAAGGTAGTAAAGACTTCTGATGCCTTACAAGACTGTCTTAAAGAGGGTAGCTGGGAAGATCTGAGGTAGAATAATGTGACTTGGAACTGAAGTAGTTTGGAAAACCAAAGGTGGAAAGAAATAGGAAGTACTTTTCCTTTATTTCTTATCCAAAAAAGGGGGTAGCTAGAGGTCCAAAGGTGGATAATTAAATCTACTTTAAGACTTTAAGTCACAAAAGTTACATTTCAAGAAAGAAATCTTCAACTGCAGCCAAATGGACTGAATAGAATGCAACACGTTTAAAAGTTACAAAAAGGCACAATCTAGGTAGTAAGAGAACTGAACAAGTAGTGCAATATTTGTTCAGAGGGCTACATTTCAGAGGTTTAAGGTGATATGACAAGTTCAGTAGAATAAAACTTTTAGAAATGAGTTAGAAGTGAAATATCACCACAGACTAAGCACTGGAAGTACTTGGGACCAGAAATGTCTTGAATTTCAGATTTTTTAAAACACATTTCATTTGTTTTATATATAATACCTTATACACACAGCCTGAATTTTTTTAAAATATATTTTTATTTGTAGATGGACACGATACCTTTATTTTATTAGCTTATTTGTATGTGGTGCCAGGGATCAAACAACTCCGGCCCCCATAACCTGAATTTTATGTTTTTGGGGTGCCTACAGTTTACAACCTGCTATGAGGTCACTGTAATTTTCCACTTGACCATGTCAACATTTAAAAAATTGCTAATTAGGAGCATTTCAGATTTTTGGATTAGGGATCTCAATCTCTGTTATGTACCTCTAGATATATCTATCAGAAGGGCTTAGCTACCTATGAAAATCTGAGGTACTGGGAATTGACTAAAAAGTAAGCCTTTCTTAGAAACTGATAAGAAATAAGCCAATTCCGCCTATATTGGTTATCTAATTTTAGTATTCATAATGTGCTTGTTAGATTTGACACAAAATTTAACCCAGGTAACTCAATACTCATCCCAAATCCACTTTGATTTCTATTCCATAGATAAGATTTTCATATCCTACATAGAATTAAAAAATGATTTTCTTAACTACTGATACTTCAGCCTTAAGATATTATTTTAAGCAATAGGCAAGAAAGAATGGGATACTCCTCTTCTAGTACCTTTGTTAGACTATTTGTTATATGCTGACCTAGGAAATTTAGTTTGCAAGTTTTAGAAAAAGATCCTATAAAATAAGTCTGATGAAATGTAACTTAAATAGATAACATGTGCATTCAAGTATACAGCAAACAAGAGAATCATACAGAATAATTCCAAAATATTATAAAGTTAATGACAACTAGCTGAAAAGTGCTTTTCATCATTTGATATCAAAAAGAAGTATTTAACTCTATTTTGGACTCCAAAAAGAATGAAAGTACTTGTGAAAGTTTAAGAACTTTGTTGTCTAGAATTATTAAACAACAAATATTGGGACATAATTTTACATGTCCAAAATTTTGTTGTAGTCAAGAGTATTTCAATATACCAGTATTTTGTTGTGTAGTCTATTTAAGACTATATATACTTTAAACCTGTAATAAAAGTAACATTAAATATATTCAATAACAGTGTAAATACCTGAGCTATTTGAATGAATGTTTCCTGAGAATACTGAGGTAGAAGAACTTTAGGAGCATCCTTAAGAGCATCAACTTGGAGAAAGAGATTTAACCAGGAGATGACTGTTACAGGACAAAGTTCCCATTTTAAAGCCTGTTAATGAAATTTTAAAATGCCTATTAATGAATGTACATACCTATGCAGAGGTTAAATAAATTTCCCTCCCAGCCACAACTGTTTTGTTTTAATGTATTATTAGAACAAGATGCCTTGTTCTAATCTAATAATACATCTAAAACCTTAGTTTTGACTACTTATAGTATTCTGAAATAGTTACAAAGTCACAACTAGAAATAAGGACATAATTATTATTACCTTTAATATAACGAGTTCCATCCTTAAGATATCCTCTTCACTGCAAGCACCATCAGTGACATAAGCAAACTCTTGGAGTTTTGGAGCATAGATTTCCTTTAAATTAGAATTTTTTATTAGGCCCAATTGAGATTGATATTAAAAGAATTCTATACAAACCACATACAGGCTTCAGTTTTAAGAAATTCACAAAGTGATTATAAATCTTAGTAAAATTACTCTGTAACTCAACCTACCTTAGTTATTTTTCATATCTAGGTATCTAAATTGGTAACTGTTATCAAGATTTATTTTCTTAGAATTCACTTTGAATTTTAGTTGATAAACAACTGGAGTATCTTAACCAGTTGTTTCAGTTAAAAAACAAAATCCTGCTGCACACAATGGTGTATGCCTGTAATCTGAGCTACTTGGGAAGTTTAGGCAGGATGATGACAAGTTAGAGGCCAGCCTTAGCAACTTAAGAAAGATCCCGTTTTAAAACAAAAATAGCTGGGGATGTAGCT